AGAGGACCTCTCCAGCATGTTCATCTCACAAAGTTCACTCAGGAATAGTATTCTTTAAAAAAAAAATATATATATATATATATATATATATTGATTTTAAAGAGGAAGGAAGAGGGAAAGATAGAAATATCAATGATGAGAACGAATCATTGATCAACTGTCTCCTGCAGCATATGCCCTTGACAGGAATCGAACCCGGGACCTTCCAGTCCTCAGGCTGACATGACACTCTACCCACTGAGCCAAACCAGCTAGGGCATCGGGAATATTATTCTTATACAGCTGCACAGGCCAGAAGCCTGGAAATCCCCTGGGTTTCTCACTCCCCAAACATATCCAATCCAAAACCCAGTTTTGTCCATTCTAACTTGAAGTATCTCAAATCCATCTGCTTCTCCTCATTCCCTATGATCACTGCCTGAGTTCTGTCCACCATCAGCTCTTTCCACAATGGTTTCTGCTCCTTCAATCTTGTCTCCACACAGCACCGTCACACGGCTATCTCTAAAACATAAATCTGGTAATATCATTTTCTCACTTGAAATCCTTCTGAGGTTTCAGGATAACTTTGTCCAGATTCTTTTCTTTTTTAAAAATATTTTTTTTTATTGTTTCAGAGAAGAAGGGAAGGAAAGAGAGAGATAGAAACATAAATGATGAACGGGTATCATTGATTGGCTGCCTACTGTACGCGCCCCATCTGGGGACTGAACCTGCAACCTGGGCATGTGCCCTTGACCAAAATTGAACTCGGGACCCTTGAGTCCGCAGGCCGAAGCTCTATACACTGAGCCAATCCGGCTAGGACTTGTCCAGATTTTTTATATTTTATTGGAGGCACTAAGCCTTTGCACAAGCTGTTCCTCTTTCCTAGAATGCCCTCTTGTAATAATTTCTATCCCTTTCATCCTAATGGCAATCTTTTGAGCCCCCCCCCCCCCCGCCCCCATGGGTTAGTTACTACTGATATTTCCGGTACTTCTCACATGTTAGCAATGAACACACTGCTTTGCAAGCACCTGTTCACTAGACTGCATCTCACTACCGTGTTTCCCCGAAAATAAGACATCCTCCGAAAATAAGACCTACTTACAGGTTTCCTTCTGAGTGAAATATAAGGCATTCCCCCGAAAATAAGGCCCCCTAGGCTAAACATGAGAGATTTGGTCCACTGATTCTGAAAGAAATGGAGTTACAAGAAATTCACCAGGAAATTCAGGAATTGGATTGTTATGATGATGTTCCAGAAGATGATAACATGATTGTCATTGAATAAATGAGTAAATTCTTGATACTGTAGGATTCACAGTTTGCCTGGTTTGTGTTGACAACTACCGTACTACCGTATCGTATACAGGTAATAAATTTCCTTTATTTTCATTTAACAATAAATGTGTACCGTATTCTTCTTCATGGAAAAATAAGTCATCCCCTGAAAATAAGACCTAGCGCATCTTTGGGAGCAAAAATTAATATAAGACACTGTCTTATTTTCGGGGAAACAGGGTAGACAGTAACATCATTAACTTGTTCACCCTTTTGTGAATGAAACAATCTGTGCTCATTGTTAACTATGTGCCCTGTATACACGATGGAGACCCAGACCTTGCCTTCGAGAACAGGAAATGCTTTCTTGGAGACCTCTCGGAGTCTTAAATGCAACAGGCTCCACACTTTTGTCCAACGAACAATCGAACGTCCTTTGACAATCCCTGATGCCGCGCGGACTTCTGGGAACTGTAGTTTCGGATTCGAGCTCCGCTCCCTGGCGCAGCCTTCAGACTTCCGGCCGTTTGCCGTAGATGCGCATGCCCCGGGAGGCGGGGCTTTGGCACTGCGCATGCCCACAGGGTGCGACCCAGAGGGCGGCGCGCCGCGGAGGCGGGGCGGAGCATCGGGGACTGGGCTTTCGCGGCCGGACTGTCTGTCTGTCTACCGGGATGGCGGGCCGGGGGAAGCTGATTGCGGTGATCGGAGACGAGGACACGGTGACCGGCTTCCTGCTGGGCGGCATCGGGGAGCTGAACAAGAACCGCCACCCCAACTTCCTGGTGGTGGAGAAGGACACCACCGTCAATGAGATCGAAGACACTTTCCGGTGCGGTAGCCAGCGGGGCCTGAAAGGGAACCTCTGCTGCCCGGGGCGGGAGCGGGGGCGGCCCGGGACCGGCGGCGCGGGGCTGCCAGACCCTGGCCCACGTTTAGGCCTCGAGGGTCAGCGACCTCGGCCCGCGGACCCTTCCGGAGTGGAGGCCTCCGCTCCCCAAATTCCCTTAGGAGGTTGGGGGCAGGGGGGGAGGGGGGCGCTATGTCGGGTTCATGAGTTGCCACCTCACATGACCGTGTGTCAGGAAAGGAGGGGAACCCAGCTCGTGACGGACGCCGCCCCCTCGGTCCCACCTCCCCCGCCAAGGTGGTGCTTCTGGCGGGTTCCCCCGAAGAGCAGGCTCTGGACATGGCGAGCTCTCGGCTCTTTGGCGAGCTGACCCCTAAAGGAACCACACCCCTGATGAACACCTGGGCAGCCTTGGGCTCGGGCGTTCTTGTATTTTCATCTCCCTGCAAGGTCGAGGGTATCATTCCCACTTAGGGGCGAGAAAACGGAGGCCCAGAGATGACAAGGCACTTGTGAAAGTCACATACGTGGTTTGGAAGAGACAGAGTAGACATCTGAACCCAGCCCAAACCTCTCTGCCTCTTAAGCCAGGTCCACAGTCCGGTTGTGCGGTCCTCCGCGGTCGGTCTTGGAATTTCCCATTGTCTTGAGCGCAATGTGCAGAATATTAAATACTGTGACCTCCCCTCTGCAGATGTGTCCCTAAATTCAGGCAGTGCCCTGGGGACTAGGACTGAGGAGTCCCCTGTTCTTCCCTTCACCCCTTCTCTGGCCCCTGGTTCCCAAGTCCCAGGAGCAGAGCTCTCTCACTGTTTTGCCCTAAACAGCCCAGTCCTGAGCTGCCAGTTGAGACTAGTTCCTGTTGCCTGGGGTATGACAGGCCCCGGTCAGGGAGGCCGATCTCTCAGCTGGTAAAGTGACCCAAGTTGTCCTGGGAGGACAAATTTACCTCAAGAGCTTGCCAATTTTCAACCAAAAGGGATCTCAGAGATCAAGTCTAATTTACCCTAGGGTCTGGCACATAGTAGGTGCTTACTCAGTAATTTTAAATTTTTCTTTATTATACACACACACACACACACACACACTTATATTTATTGGTATCAGAGAGGGAGAAACAGAGAGACATAGAAACATCAATGATGAGAGAGAATCATTCATCAGCTGCCTCTTGCACAACCCCCACTGGGGACCAAGCCTGCAACCCTGGGCATGTGCCCAGACTGGGAATCAGTGATGCTCAACCACTGAGCAACACCGGCCAGGCTATTTTTTTTTTTTTTTTTTAATATTTTTACTGCTTTAGAGACAGGAAGAGAGTTGGAGAGAGAGAAACATCCATGAAAGAGAAATGTCCATTGCACTCCCCTACTGGAGATCAAGCCTGCAATCCAAGCATGTGCCCAACTGGGAACATGTGTGTTCTCTTGGTGCATGGAACAACACTCAATCCACTGAGCGACACCACTTGCTGTAAACAGGTTTTTTTTTAATTATCAATGTTAAATTTATTGGGGCAACATTGATTAATAACATAAAAATTTCAGGTGTACAACTTTATAATACAAGTAAAGAGCTTTAATGGAGAAATAAATGAATGAACAGGTGATCACAAGAAAGGAAGGTCCCAGTGTCAGGCTCCCTCTGTGTGGAAAGTGTGACTCCTTCCTCACTCATTTTCCTCTTTCTATGTTGTGTTCTTGGCTCATGCCAATCTTCCCCAGTGATCCATCCCACCCTCATCAGCTGTGAGTGGTCTTATCAGTCCCCTTTTTAAAAGTTTAATTTGTTTTCTTTTGAAAAGTGAATTGTCCATGAGGTTTGCAAATGATACTGAAAAGATTTACACATTAAGAAATCTCATTCTCATCCCTGTCCTTTTCTACCTTATTACCTCTTCTCTCCACCCCCGTGCATACCCACTGAGCTTCTTTCTACTTTTTCTTCATGCAAGCACAAAGGGACAGACATGTCTGTTATCCCGGCTGAGCTGTCTCACACGAAGGCAGCATATGGGATACACGGCACCGCTCTGCATGGCCAGTGCACTTGGGAACCTTCTGAGCGGGGAGGTAGAAGCCAGCTCGGACCACCTTGACCCCCAGTTTCTGAATGAAATTGATTCTGGAGAGGATGGAGAGTTTAGTGTAGTAACCTTTACCCTTGTCTTCGGTGCTCTCTGGAAGAAACCCATGCCCCATTACAGCCTAGCCCACCAACTCGGAGTGGGCTGCCCCTGACTCCCTTCTCATCTCTCCCAATAGGCAGTTTCTAAACCGGGATGACATCGGCATCATCCTCATCAACCAGTACATCGCAGAGATGGTGCGGCATGCGCTTGACGCCCACCAGCGCTCCATTCCGGCCGTTCTTGAGATTCCGTCCAAGGAGCACCCCTATGATGCTGCCAAGGACTCCATCCTACGAAGGGCCAAGGGCATGTTCACGGCCGAAGACCTGCGCTAAGGGACTCCCTCGCCCCTGCTACCTCTCCCAGACTTGCCGTCAGCCCCTCTCTAAGTTTTGAGCCTCTAATTTCCAATACCCTGCCCCTTCCCACTCCATTGAGAGGCTAGCTGAGGTGCTTCCACGTTGTTGGGGCTCTGTCAGTAAAATTAAGGCCGGTTAGGGAACAGGAAACCTGATTGTCTCCTCTCTCCATTACCTCTCCCCTGTGCTGTTACAGAGTGTGGTTGTTGATGTTAAATTAAAATAATGTTCTTCTCTCCAAACCGTGTCCGGATGCCAGAAAGGATACACGTGGGATGATGCTGTTGGAGGGATTAGATGGGCAGGGCTGGAAAAGTTCTGCCAGAGATGAAGGCAGAGAGAAGCTGGATAAGGACGATGGTGCCAGGCGGCCATAACCCAAGGACTGGTCCTCTGAATCAAAGACAACCAGCACTGGCAGGAAGGATGGGAGGAGACGAGCCTAGACCCCTGGCTCCCCAACTTTGGTCTGTATTGGCCAGGGGGACCTGACCCAAGGGATGGAAGCAGAAAGCACAGGTAACTGGAAGCCTGTGATGCTAGTCATTGCCTGGGTCCTGCAAAAGGTTTGGGGATCAAGGCTCTTAGCCAGTGGGCCTGGCCCGAGGCAGCCCCAGGAGCAAGAAATGTGAGGTCTGCTGAGGGCACGGCAAGTAGAATCCTGGCCCTGTGTGAGGTGAGGCCTGGTTGCCTGGTGACTCCCTGGGCAGCCCCTGCTGTCAAAAGGACTGCTTGCTGTGCTCTCCCCTCAGCTGCACTCACCCTGGGACCTCTCCTCTTGCCACCATGGCGCGGGAACTCAACATAGATTCTGTGCGGCAGAACTTCTGGAAGGAGCGACATCTGAGGGATCAGAAGTTGCGATGTGATTGGTACCTCAAGTATGCGGCGAAGGTGAAGGCCAAGCAGAAGGCTATGGCTGAAACCCGTCTCCCTCTCAAACTGCCCGACCTGTACCCAAAACCCCCGCTCTCACCCCCACCTCCCCCCAAAACAGCCCCTTCCAAGGTCCCCAGCCCTGCCGCGGAGGCTCCTATGCAATCAGAAATGTACCCAGTCCTGCCTTCCATCCGGGCCCTGCTGTACGAAGGTATCTCCCACGACTCCCAGGGGCGCTACTGCTATCTCAACACCCGGAAGCTGGACGTGCCAGAGAAGCGCTACCTCTTCCCCGTCACCACCAACTTCACCTACGGCTGGCAGCTGGGTGAGCCCCAACCTTCCGGAAACTACCTCACACACAGGCACCTGTCCGCGCCAGGCAGCGTGCTGGGCACTAGGCACATGGACGCTCCTTTCTGGGGCATCCGTAAGAGCCGGAAAAGGAGCAGGAGCTGGTCCTGGGTGGGGTCAGGAAGGGGTGGGGTGTGTGCTGCTTTAGGTGGGATTGTGAGAAAGTGCCTGACTGGGCACCTAAATGACAAAGAGGAGGAGTTGGGGATTTATTCCAAGTGTGAGGTGAAGTCAGTGGAGGGTTTTAAGCAGGTAAGTGCACTGATTTATTTAAAAACCACTCCTACCTGTATGGAATGGCGTTTCCAGGGGAAAGCGTAGATTGGCAGGTAAGTTAGGCAGCTACTTTGAGCTTGCCTGGCAAGAGATGAGGATAGCGTGGGCCAGGGCAATCAGCAGAGCTGAAATACATTCAGTTTTGGAGGAAGAATGCATGGAATTTCCTGATGGACTCCATGAGAGAGAAGAAGGCACGGATGACACCCAGGTGTTTGGCTGAGCCGCTGTGACAGGGAAGACTAGGAGCGGAGCCGCACTGGAGGGTGTGAAGACAGGTCAGCGCTGGCCACGTGCTGGGGTCAGTGAGGCTGTGTGTGGGAGCTGTCCTCTGGAGCAAGGTGAGAGCTGAAGATGCGAATTTGGGGTCATCAGAAAACAGGTGCTCTTTACAACCCTGAGGTTGGGTGAGCTCGCCAGGGAACTCCAGATTCTGGGGTCTGACAGGAGGAGAGGCACAGAGCGGGAGGGAGATGGTGTTGGTGTGTCTCGCCACCGAGTCCACTTTTCTTGGAGGCTGAGTCACAGTCATCAGGGGAGGAGCGGAGGCAGTGAGGTAGTTTGAGATGAAGAGTGAAGGTGTGGGAAGGGAACATCCCAGGATTGCTGGGTGATGCTGTGTCCCTTTGCTCTCTGCGGTCATGAGTTTCACATGAACAAATCAGTTACGTGTCTCCAGCTGCTCCAGTGCCTGTGCGGAACAGGGGGTGGTTGGTTGGGAATACAAGCCGCTTAAAGTTTGCCTAAAAAGCCTCCCCTCTCTCCCCAGGTCTCTGAAAGGGAAGTAAAGGGAGCAGTTTCCAACTAAAGCAGGAGGGAGAAAAAAGCCCCAGCTGTCCTAGAAAAGTCTAGCTTTGTCCCTTTGTGAGCAGGGCAGGGTCCTGCCACCATTTTCCTGGAGGATCCTGAGGCTGGGGGCAGTGATAGTACACAGTGGAATGGCATTCTGCCATCACTGCTGCTCTGGGCACCATCCACTCCGTTTCCGCATAGCCCCCATGCCTCAGAAGAACTATTTATTTATATATTTTTATTTCAGAGAGGAAAGGAGGGGGGGAGAGAGAGAGAAACATCAATGATGAGAGAGACTCAATGATTGGCTGCTTCCTGCACACCTCCCACAGAGACTGAGCATACAACCCAGGCATGTGCCCTTGACTGGAATCGAACTTGGGATCCTTCGGTGCATAGGCCGACACTTGATCCTCTGAGCCAAACTGGCTAGGGCAGAAGCACTTTTTATTTAGTCACGCTTACAAAGAGGATACAGTAAGGTCATATTCCTAAGGCTGGGTAGGCAGAGCTACCATGTTCTGCGAGTTCCTTCCCAGAAACCCATTCCTGGCCTCTGACGTCTTTTCCCAGGCCCCACAGGGAAGAGGGAGCTGGCCTCCACCAAGTTGTGCCGCATTGACACGTTCTTCCGCAAGAACGGGGCCTTCGCACCGCTTGACCCCCGAGACCTGGTCCTCTGACCTGCGCCCCGCAGTGTGCTTAGGGTTTGGAAGAAGAAATGCGCCACCTGGTGGTGTGTGTGTGTCTGGCTCTCCCAGGCTCCGAGGCTGCATTCTGGGCCTTTTTGAGCTACCTCTGATCTGCAGGTTGCCCTCTTGTTTCTCATTAGCCTCCACCTCTGTCATCGCCCCTGTGAAGATTCAGCAGCGGTTAGAGGGGCTGAGCGCTACTCTCCGGGCGGGCGCAGGCTCCTCAGCGCCAGGGGGAGGGTAGCTGCTGGAAGTTCTGGGTGTTCCTGAGGAGAGAGTGGCCTGTTATCCTACCTCACCCCACAAGCCTCTTCCCTCCCACCCTCTTCCCCCCTCACCTGGCTCCGAGGGCCCGCAGGCGCCCGGTCCTCTTCTGTGCACGTGTTCCAGCTGCTCCCGCAGGGCACGCTTCTGCCCCTTGTCCTCCTGTGGGGTGCTGAGTGCTGAGCGCCCTTGCATCCCAGCCCACGGCTCCATGGAGCCAGCAGGGCCGGCACCAGGACACACCCCGGCCCCCATAAACTGCCCCCACCCCCAGCCCCCAGCTGTGTGGGGGTCAGCTCCAGTGCACGTCGAAGGAACCCAGGTGGGCCCCACCCTCTATCCCTGTCTCCTCCCCGGGGTCTTGCCTGTGTGGGAGCTGAGCTGGACTGGGTGGGAACCCCGAGCGGGGAGGGGTGTGCACCCGGCAGTGGCGGTTCCTGGCGATGCGGAGGCAGTCCAGGACCTGGGGGGTGGGGGTGGGGGGGGAATGGAGAGCCGTCACATCAGCGGCGGTGGCCGCTTTCTGTGTCCAGGACGTACCCAGAGCCGCTGCTGCTCAGGGTCCCGCTGCAGCCGGTGCCTGGCCGCTCTGTGCAGCGCCGGCAGCCGCACGGCGCTCCCGCCCGCCCAAGCCTTTCCCTGCCCTGGGTTCGAGGCCGCAGCAGCGCTTCTCCGCCCCTCGAGGTTGCCCCGGGCACCTCGCCTCGCCCATGGGCTGTTCTGCTGGGCAGGGACCCCCCTGCCGGATCCTGCAGGCTGTGCCGATTGCGCACCAGCCCTGGGTACCCCGGGAGGCTGAGGGGCGCCCCTGCTGCTCAGAGCCGCAGAGCTCCGGGCTCTCCCAGGGCCACCGCGGACCCTAGTATCTGGCCGTTGGTTGGTCTTGTCCTGCTGTCAGCTTGGTGCTCCTTCCCCGGGGCCTGGGCTCTCCCTTCCCCCAGGCATCTGTCCCCCCAGGGACCTGCAGGCCTCCCTCGGAATTCCTCGGAATTCTTCCTCCTGGGCTGTGGGCGCCTCCCCTTCCAGAAGCCCGAAGACTTCACTTCCCCAGGCTGAGGGACTCCTTTCCCGGGCACTCTGGCCTGTTTCCCTTTTTCTCTTAAAGAGCATCTTCCTTCTCACCCTGAGGGGTCCCCCACCCCAGACCCACAGGGATCTCCCCACTCTGACTTACCCCATTTGCCTTCTCTCTCTGACTCTGAGGAACTTCCTTGTGGTCCTCAAGGAGAGCTGAGGAATCTCAGCTCCAACTCTCTCTCCAACTCTGAGGAATCTCAGTCCACAGCAGTTTCTGAAGTTCTGCTCTGTCCTGGTCCAAGCCCCGGCCCAGCCCCTCAGGGGATCCTGGAGGTGTGGCCGGCACTGGGAGGGCAGGCCTGGGGCCTGGAGGCTTCCTGAGCCACCTTTCTCCCTGCAGGCTTCCCGGTGATGGTGGGAGGGGATCTGGCTCATGGGCTCTGCCTGGCCCCTCTCTCCCTCCTGGACCAGATTCCCGGAAGGGAGAGCACTCTGTCCCAGGCTGTGCCAGGGCCGCTCCCCCCAGGGGGCCTGGAGATCCCAGTGGCTGCTCTGGTGGCCTCCCTTCCACGATGGCCCTTGTCTGGTCCCTGCATTTGCAGTCCTCAGGTTATGTAGCGTAAAAGGTGCTTCAGCTATAGCGAGTGGCCCCACCTCACCCCAGCAGCCTCTCCCATGGCAGACCCCCCCTGCTGTCCCCAGTCTGAGGGGCCCTTTGACCCCTTCACCTCGAACCCTGAGTTTCCTGGTTCCCCAAACCTGCTGCTGGTGGTGGGGCCCAGCTCTTGTTTGCAGCCTGCGAGAGAAAGATTGATGTAGGAGCCTCTGCACACGCCCCAGCCCCTCACACACACCCCACCCGGACTGGAACCAAGAAGCCTAGGGAGTCCCTGCAGATAAGGGAGGGGCCCAGATGGCTGGTGTTTGACCTTCAGAGCGGTCACAGCTCATTGTTCCACCTGTATTTACACAGCCTAAAACATGCCTGCTTGTCAGGTTTGCCTGCCTATAGCCGACCCCATCTTCCTTCTCTTCCCCTCCAAGCCAGACCATCTCCCTGGAAGCTGCACACACTCCTAACCCTTCCCCCTCCCCCACCACAGGATGCCTTGGAGCAGGAAGGCCTCGCTAGGACACCCCTACTTTCCCCTACTTTGTCCTGATGGGCCCATTTAGGCCCATTAAAACAAAAAACAAAAAACTGCATGTGCCCTTTTTAGCTCTTTCTTGGTTTCTGACAGCAAAATCAAACACAATTCAAGAATTGAAATCTTAGGCCAGAGCCGAGCCTCAAAACTGCAAGTCTTCATGATTAACAAAAGGAATCTAAAAAGGGAGATGAGACGTCGCTGCTCCCTTGCAGCTGTGGAGGGAGGCAAGTCGCTCAGCATCCTTAGAACCAGTCAAAAGAACATGATTTCCTAAGATCTTCAGTGAGAACCTTCTCAAGGACACCCCATCTTCATGCAGTGCGGATGTGGGGATACGCAGCACAGTACCCGAAAGAGAATGCTCTCAATCTGTGACAATAAACCTGTCCTTTGAAGAGTTTCTGAGCAAAGGGGTCCGATAAGACTCCCAAGCCTTCAGGAACTATTGCATAAACCGTGAAAATAACCTCCAGCACTCTTCCTCTGTAATGTACTTGTAAAAATTTATCAATTAGAAAATAGTCATTGGCACGTTCGTCCTCTCTCACACGTATGAAGGAACAATTAAAAGCTGCCCTGGCCGGTTTAGTTTAGCTGGTTGATCATTGTTCCATGTACTGAGAGGTCACTAGTTCAAATCCCAGTCAGCGCACATGCCCAGGTTGTGGGCTCGATCCACAGTAGGGGGTGTGCAGGAGGCAGCCGATCAATCTCTCTCTCTCTCTCTCTCTCTCTCTCTCTCTCTCTCTCCCCCTCTCCTTCTCTCTTCCTTCTCCCTCTCCCTTCCTCTCTCTAAAAATCAATAAAAGCATATTTAAAACACTTATAGCTTTGCTGGGCTTATTATTTAACAAATCCTTTGAGTGTCTGTTTTGTTTAAATGAACAGATCCAGGGCTCACAGCATCTGTCTCACTGGATTCTAATCCCCTGTTCATGGTCACACTCTCTCATTAGGGTTTGCTCCCCTCAGAGACAAGGACCAAGTGATGGGGCAAGACTTTGTTCTTGGCATATCCCCAGTGTCTGGCATAAGGGTGGCCGACAGGCTGCTCCATTCCCTCCTCCCCGAGCAGCCATGGACAGACACTCCTCACCTCTTCCCTGAGCACCAATGTAGTTTCAGAGCCCACCTGGACACAGTGCCTGAGACAGCTGCTACAATCCAAGGGGAATCGGCACATAAAATAACACCTACCTGTCGTTCTTGGATGCCCCGACCCCCAACTAAGAGCTTGAGATGAGGAATGAGTGAGGAGTGGACTGCCTCTCCCCGGTGTGGTCCGGCCGCCCCGGCCCAGGGACCCCTGGATGCCAGCCCCTCCACAACACACCAGTGTGGGCTCTGCAGGCAGCCAGGGCCTCCCACCGTGGGTCTGCGGCTCTCTGGCTTCCCCAGGTCTGGTCTGCAGCAGCCTCCTGAGGTGTGCAAAAGCTGCCTCAGCTACATCTCCTGCATGTGGGCTCTGGACAGGGAGGGCAGCCTGCCTGTCAGTCTCCCCACCCCCAGCAGCTGCTGAGCCTTCCCACCCCACCCTTCAAACACAATGCAGCGACCTGCCCAGCCCTGTACCACCGCTGGATCCTGGGAGCTGGGCCTGGGGGCTATTCTCTCCAGGGGCTGTGGGCAACCATATGGGTGCGACTGAGTGAGAGCCCGAGGAGGACCATGTGTGTGAGGACGGTGCCGGGCAGGGCTGTGGAAGGAGGAAGGGCCGGTGTGTTCCGTCTCTTTATGGGTCTCTTTATGTGGCAACACACAGTGTGCAGATTCCCCGGGAGCTAGACTCACCCTCCAGGGACTGATGGTTCTGGCTCAGGGTGTCCCCAGCCTCGTGTGAGGAGCACAGCCCGGAACTCTGGAAGGATTTGAGAGCAGCCTAGTCCCCAGGACACCAGATGGTGGGCAGCTTCTAAAACACCCCCAAACCCCAACCGGTTTGGCTCAGTGGATAGAGCATCAGCCTGCGGACTGAAGGGTCCCAGGTTCGATTCCAGTCAAGGGCATGTACTTTGGTTGAGGGCACATTCCCATTGATTGATGTTTCTCTCTCATCGATGTTTCTAACTCTCTCTCCCTTTCCCTTCTCTGTAAAAAATCAATAAAATATATTTTTTTAAAAAATAAAATGCTCCCGAGATGCCTCCTCCTGGCGTCCATGCCCTTGGATGACGCCCCCGCTGCCCCTCCTGGTGAAGGAGCCTGGAAAGGGGTCCCTCCTGCCCAGGGAGCCCTCAGATGAGCCTGCAGTCCTGGCGGCAGGTCGGCTGGACAGGTCATGTGACACTCCGTCCTAGGAGGCCTTGGCCCAGAGCCGCTGCCAGCCTGCCCTGGGTGCCTGGGCAGTTGGTGGCTGGGCTGGCCTGGAGACAGCCATCCTTCCTGTCACCACAGCACCCTCCTTCCCAGAGGGAGAGCCTGCGGGGGGGGGGGGGGGGGGGACTGCTGTGTGCCCTCAGGGCCTCGCCGCCTGCCTGCTCTCCTCCCACGCTGCAGCCATGTCTGCAGTGGGTTGGCCAAGATGGTTGTGGCTGAGGGATGGTAACAGCTGGCACGGACAAGCAGGCCTCGTGCTCCAGGCCCAGCGCTGCACCCTCCTCAGGGATGAGCTGCCGGTCCTCCCAGGGCCCTCAGAGAAAGATGCTATCTTTCTCCTGGTGTAGAAGAGAGATTGGAGGCTGCAGTCCACACCCACCGGATCAGAACAGGGCTCTGAACCGGATCCAAAGCCATGCTCCTCCCACTCCCTCACCAGTAGGGTTGCCCCCATGTCACAGTGACCGGCACCCCCGCCGCCCCCCCGCCTCAGCCAAGCCCTGCTCACCACACTCATCAGCTGCTCTGAGTCCCACCCGCCCCACCACGGGACTCGCTGCGCTGGCTCCGTGCACGCTGGGCCGGGTCCCGCAGACCACAGAACCGGGCCCGGGGAGACCAGAAGAGGCCCAGCCTGTCCCAATCAACAGCCCCAAGTCCCACAGGAGCTGCAAAAAGATGGGGTGCCAGAATGTGAAAGGGTACTCCCCCTGCCCTCTGCCACACCCCCAGTCAGCCCCTACCTGCTCCTGGGCCCACTGGCTCCATTCCACCTGCAGCAGCACAGTGGGAAGGTCATGTGACCTGGGAGGCAAGTTGAGTCAGGCCCCACAGAGGCCCTGTCCCCTCGGAAGCAGTGCCCTGCCTCCCTCACCTGCCCCAGTGCAGCCCAGAGCTGGCCCAGGCTGCAGGGCATCGGAACAGGTGCTGGTACAGAGCCCAGACCTGCTTGAGGCTGCAAGGCAGCCCTCTGCCCCCAAGTGTGGCTGCCGGCGCCATGAAGTAGGGGTCTGAGCAGATGTCCCCTTCCCTTCTCCCGGTGCCACAGGGGACTGGAGCTGAGCCAGGAGCTGAGCCAGGAGCCAGAGCCCCTGAGCTCGATGCAGGGCCCTGGTATCTGAGCCACGGCCTGGGCCCCACCAGGCCTGGAGCTCCGGCCTGCCTCGGAGAAGGTTTCCTGGTTGTGGAGGTGGCCCGCGGTGTAGGGTAAGGAGTGTGGTCCTTCCGGAGACAAGTTTGCATCCCAAATGAGTACCTGTTTTACATCCACATGCTTCCATGTACATATGAAGCATCACATAGGCACCTAACATGTTCAACATGGGCAGCAGCCGCCAACAGCCAGGACACACATGTCCCATACTTGTGACCCTTCCTCGCAGCAACTTGCTGGCGTAGGTGCTATCATCCTCATCCCCATTTTACAGGGCAGAACGCTGGGCCCCAGAAGTGAGCCGCCAAAACCAGCAGGTGGCGCTGTCTCCCTCACCCAGAGATGATGGCAGAGAGAAACAGGCCCTGGGAAAACGCGGCCCTGAGTGTGAGCCAGCACAGGCAGGACAGCGGCGGGGGCTTCCCTAGCGCTGGCTCCAAGCTGTCCCCATGCAGAGCGCTGTTCATGGGTCTTTCTGCTTGTTCCCTGCAATAGGGCAGATGAGGACACAGCCTGCGTCAACTATAACTAGGGGAGGAAACGAAGACGCGAGATGCTGTCATCTTCGCCGCCTCGGCTGCGGCTCTAACCCCTCCCCGAGGGAAGGCAGCCCAGGGAGCAGCCTCGGCAGAAGCAGCTGAGCAAGCAGACAGGTGCTCCCCATCCAGCCCAACACGCGCCCCTCCTCCTGTCGAAATGCTAGGGACCCAGCCATGAGAGCAGGTCCCCTTGGATACTTTAGCCAAGGTCCCGAACACGCCAGGTCACACAGCCGGAGGAGGTAAAGAGGGCTCAGGATAGAGTTCACTTTAAAAAGACATTTTCCTTTCTTTCCCTACAAGGATGTCTTCAGAAATTGCACGTGTGTCCCCTGCCCACAGGCTCGTCAGGGTGGGGGTGGCTGTGGATGCACGCTTGCGTGTGTGTGGGGGAGGGGGTGTCTGTGTACTTCTATCTGTGTCTGTGTCTGTGTTTCATCAGTCCTGGTCCCCCCTCCAGGCACAGGGTCCCTCCCTCACCAGCTCTCAGAGTGGCCAGGAGGCCCCTGAAACCAGGAGAAAGCAGGATGCCACGTGGGGACTGAGCGTCTTTTCCACGCACTTCACCCCTGCAGGCTCCACATGGATCTCAGAGGGTGCCCCATCGGGGCCACAGGCCATGCCTGCTACCTGTAAGCTCAGGCTGGGACCACGAGTGCTGGCTCCGCCTGCCCACAGCAGGGCAGCACCAGGGAGCGGCTGGCGCGGGCAGCCCAGGGGTGCAGGCACCGGAGTGAGCAAGGCCCAGAGCTGATTCCCACAGCTCCACCCTCTGGCTCTGGGGACACTGACTTCTGGCCCCCGTAGCCCATGTGGCCACCCCAGTGCCGGGAGGAAGCGCGCGCACACACACACACACACACACACACACAGAGACACACACACAAACAGACACACAAACACACACAAACACACAGACATACAAACACACAGACATACAAACACACAGACACACAGACACACAAACACACAGACACACAAACACACAGACACACAAACACACACATACACACACAGAGACACACAAACACACAGACACACAGACACACAAACACACACATACACACAGACACACCCAGAGACACACAAACACGCACATACACACATACACACAAACACACACAGACACACAAACACACATACAAACACAGAGACACATACAGACACACAAACACAGAGACACACAAACACACACAGACACACAGACACACAAACACACACATACACACACACACACAGACACACAAACACACACACAGACACACACAGACAGACACACAAACACACACATACACACACAGACACACCCAGAGACACACAAACACGCACATACACACACATACACACAAACACAGACACACAGACACACAAACACACACATACACACAAACACACACACAGACACACACACAAAACACACAGACACACACAGACACACAGACACACACACATACACACAAACACAGAGACACACACATACAGACACACAAACACACACAGAGACACAGACACACACATACAGACACACAAACAGACACATACACACAAACACACAGACACACAAACACACAGACACACAAACACACACAAACACGCACATACACACACATACACACACATACACACAGAGACACACCCAGAGACACACAAACACACACAGACACACAAACACACACAGACAGACACACAAACACACACATACACACACAGACACACCCAGAGACACACAAACACGCACACAAACACACAGACACAGACACACAAACACCAGGCAGCCTTAGGGCAGGCCCCGCGTTTACTGTTTCTGACTCAACACGGCTGGGCTTTCTGGGACGCGGGCCCGGCTCCCGGGCCAGGCAGGGCGCTCCCGCCGAAGCCCGGGCGGGGGCGGGAGCCGCTCTCCAAGGAGGGACTTGGGTCGGATGAGTCCCGGCCGCTGTCATCCCGGGTCGAGCGTCCCCCGGGCCGCCTGGCCGGGGCTGAGCGGGTCTCGGGGCGGCCGGTCCCCGGTGAGCAGGACGGGGGGGCAGGCCTGGGGCGGGATGCAGTGGGCGTCGTGCTCCACCAGGCCGGCGGGGCACCGGCAGCCGGGCACGCAGGGCCGCACGCAGGCGGCGGAGAGCTCCCGCAGCGGGACGTGCCGGTTGAAGCAGGTGCGGGGGCAGGGCGGGCCGCACTCGTCGAACACGAAGCCGCGGTCCAGGGGGCAGCCCACCCCTGCGGGCAGAGGGGAAGGCGGGGCTCCGTCACCCCCTCACCCGGGCAGCCCTCCCGCACCTCCCCCTCCTCCCGGGCTGGCCCCCGGTACCCCCCACCGCAGCCCCACGGGCCATTGCTGGCTCACCGCAGAGCGTCGGGCCCCGCCAGGCCGGCGTGGCCCCCGCCTGGCGGCAGTGGCTGGCATAGGCCTCCAGGGCATCGCAGAGGCAGGCGGCGGCCGCGGAGCCGGGCCCGCAGGCGCACAGGTCGTAGACGCAGGCGGCGAAGAAGGGCTCGGGCGGCACCACGGCGTGGCAGCGGCCGAACGGGGCGGACTTCAGCACCGTGCACCGGGCATTGGCCTCGCGCCGGGCCCGGTAGCCTGCCGCCCGGCACGGGTGCCCCTCCCGGCCCTTGGCGCAGGGCCGCCCGGGCCCCGGCCCCTCGGGGACCTGGGTGGGGAAAGCGGCCCTGGCGTGACAGCATCCTGGGCAGCTGGCCTCGGCCTGCCGTTCTCCAAAGCACTTTCCGCCCGAAAAGTTTTAGCTTCGAAAACCTCCTCATTAGAACAGCAAAGGAAGCAGCGTGAGTGACTTTTCTTTTGTCCCCATCGTGGGGACGAACCCAGGCCCAGAGAAGGCAAGTAACTTGTTCAAGGTCACACAGCCCATGAGTAGCAAAGCTGGGCTTCTTGGGGAGTCAGATGATGCGGCCTTCCTGCCTCCTCCAGCTCCACGACAGGCAGGAAGCTCCCAAGCCGGCCTCACAGTCCCAAAGCCTGCTCCCATCTCCACACCAGAGGGCTGCTCTGAGACCCATGCTCACCTGTGCCGCCTCCAGCCCGGCCCCCAGCCCCCGCCCCCATCCCCCTGCCGCAGGCTCCTGGGCCCCTCACCTGCCAGCTGTTCCCAAAGGCAGCCTCAGTGGGCAGGAGCAGCCCCTCAGGGCCCTGCAGATCGTCCTGGGCAAAGCCATTGAAGTTCCCGCAGAGCCCACAGGTCTGGCCCCGGTAGGAGCCGGGCACGCTCACCTCCACCTGGGACCGCCCGTCCCACAGCACCTGCGCGGAGAGGCTGGGACTGGGGCGGGGGAGACGGCTCTGGCCCTGGCCCCCGGGCACAGCCTGCGGGACTGACAGCCAGCACAGCTCCGGGAAGGCACCCGCGGCGTTAGCATCCCTGAACTGGGCCCCAGGTGAAATGCAGCCTCTTCCAGAGACACACTACCTCCCGGGTGCGACGCAATTCCCGTTTGTATCTCAGTGCAGACAAGCCCTAGTCTAGGAGTTTACAAATGGTGCTTCTTGCTGGCTGCGGGGGCGTGCCCTGCTCTTTGGCACGGGAGTTGGAAGGAATCCTGAAACACTGAGGTCCTAGGAGTCCTTCTCCGGTTTTACCGATGAGAAAACCGGCCCAGAGAGGACGGGGACAGGCCCGGGCCCGGTGTGCTGATGGCTGAGCCCAGGTTAGAAACCAGGCCCAGAACTCCTGTCATTGCACCCAGAGGTCTCTGACCCCGATCCCTCTTCTCCCCTCAGCATCCTGCAGGACTCTCACCTCAGTAAGGCCCAGAAACTAGTTGGTAACCCCCACGCCCTCCAGACACAGACGCCTGAGCGGCCCAGGGCCCTGCCATCCCCCAAACCCTCCCCCCTCCCGTGGCGCGGTCCCCAAACACTCCCGTGGCGCGGCCGCACCTGCAGCCCCGGCTGGGTGTGCAGGATCACGGTGCCGCCCCGCAGCTCAGCGTACAGCAGCGGCTCCTGCAGGAAGGGCAGGGCCACGGGGCGCCCGTCCACCTGCAGGAGGAGGAGGAGGGCGGGAGGAGGCCGTTGGGACGGAGGAGTGGACGGCGCTGGAGGGACCGCCCTCCCGGGCCCTCCCTCCGCGGCCTCACCGTGACCGCGCCGCCCGGCAGCAGCCGCACGGCCACCTCTCCTCCCAGCAGCACCGCCACCTCCTGGGTCCAGGCCACGCCGCTGCGGCCCCGGTCACTGTTGGTCACGTGCACACTGGGTGCGAGAGGCCGGGTGCAGGGTCAGCGGGGGCGGGTGTGGGGGGCGGGGGGCGGGCGGAGGGGGCTGCGCACCTGAAGTCGCCCCCGCGGCAGTGCCGGGCCAGCACGTAGCGGCAGCCGCCCTGGAAGTGCAGCAGGCGGCCGTCGAAGGTGCGGTAGTGCGGGTCTCCGAAGGCCATGCAGGAAGCCGGCCGCGGCAGGCAGCGGGGACAGCAGCTGCCGGGGTTCAGGGCGGGAGCCTCGTCCTGGCCTCCGCCCGGGACAGTCAGACACCGGCCCGGCGGAGCCCCGCGCGGAGCCTCTGAGGACCCGAGCGGGCTCCGGGCGCCGCCTCGTGGTCGCTCCTGGAACTGCAGGACCCCGCGCCGCGCCTCCTCCGGGCCCCCCTGCCCGCAGCTCCAGTGCCATGGCCCAGCCAGGTGCCTCCTCCCCTGCCCGTTGCACCGGGATGGCGGTGACACATGCACACTCACCCCACCACGTGCACACTCACCCCACCACGTGCACACTCACCCCATCACATGCACACTCACTCCATCACATGCACACTCACCCCATCATATGCACACTCACCCCTCCACCCCCTCCCCCACAGCCCAGACCGGCACTCACGGGGCCGCAGGAGAGCCGCGGGCAGCGCTGACTCTGGCAGCGCACGGTGCCGGCCACGCAGGAGCAGCTGGTGCAGGGGTCCACGGCCCAGCTGTCCCCGGAGGCCACCTGGCGGCCCTGGTGCTCACATGGCTGGGCGGGAGCTGAGGGATCTTGGGAATGGGGTGGGGTCAGGGGTCAGCTGCCCCTCCCTCACACCGGGTCTCGCGCTGCTCCCACCAGCACCCTGGCCCGCACCTTGGCATCGTTCACAGCACCGGCCAGCGTCTAGAGCCTTCACCCAGCCAAGTGGGCAGGAGAGGGCCTGGCACTCCTCACGGCGGCACTCCACGCGGCCCCGCTGAGGACAGAGGCCAGTGCTCTAGGGACTCTCGGGGGGCCCTGAGGTCCCTGGTCACACTTCTGGGGCCACCTGGCTCCGTTCTGCGGCAGCGGACCCCTCTCCCCGGACCTGCTCCAGAACAACCACTTCCTGTTCAAGAGGGGCCTGACGGATGTCCAGCCCTCAGCTCCGTGCCCTGCACAGGGCTGCCTCTGCCCATGCTCACCACAGGGGCGCCCTTCCCTAATTACCTCAGAGACACCCTCCTCCCCCAGCCCCGAGATGCATGGCCCAGCGTCCTGAGGCCCCCCTCTTCTGTAAGGCCCTGCGCCCCCACTCCTCAGCCCCAGCTCACATGGCAGGTACAAGTGATGCAGGCGTTGCTGGGGTCCCTCCAGCTCTCTCCATCCGCCACTCTCCGGCCCTCGGCCTCCACCACACATTCTGATGAGAAAGGAGGCTGGGGGAGCACCGTCCTGTCCTTCCGGCTGCCTCCTTCCTCCCTGGAGCTCACCCCGAAGGCCCGCAGCAGGGGGTGCCCACCGCCCAACCTGCTGGTGTTGGTTTCTTCAGCCACATGCGGGGGAGGGAGGGGTATGTCAAGGGGAAGGCCCTGCATGGGGCTTGAGGCGTGGATAGGGTTCTGGAAGCCTGAAGAGCCACAGGCCGCGGCCCTCCTCGGGCTCCGGATCCCCCCGCAGGGGCCTGTGGTACTGAGCCGGCTGACAGGCCTCAGGCCAGGCCCTGAGAATCCAGGCTTCAGTCTCCGCCTCCCGCTGCCTCACGGGTCTCTCCTCCACCCAAATGACAAGCCCTCCGTTTCTACCAAAGACCGAGCCAGCATTTACCCCGGCACTCAGGGCAGCAGCCCCCGGCGGGGGTGTGGTGCTCGGAGGGGGGACAGCTGAGCTCAGGGCAGGCCTGGTGGACGCAGAGCCAGGTCAGGTCCTGGGAAAGGGCATGAGAAGGCCGGGGGTAGAGAACGGCAGAGAGGGAGCAGGCTCTGTGGAATGTGACGTTCGGGAAGCGAAGGCGAACACCGGTGAGCGGGAATCCCCGAGCTCCTGCAGGAGATTCGGCCACAGCCCACGGGGGAGGCTCTGGAGCCTGGGAACCCCCAGGGCCGGAGGGCTCACCTGGCACCGGCAGGTGTAGCAGGGGTCCAGCGGGGCCAGCTCCGACCCCAGCAGGCCCTCCGTGCAGTTGCTCAGGGCCTCTGTGTAGACAAGAACGCAGAGGGAGGGTTACAATGGGGGTGGGAGCAAGGGATGTCAGCCCGGATGATCGTACTGACCCATCTGTCCTCGGACCCTTATCCCTAGCTCCTGGACTCCAGGAAGAATACATCCTTTCCTGCTGGCTCAGCAGAGAAAAGTTTGGACTTTTCGAGAGGAACTTTGCTAGGCTATGGGGGGAGGGGGCTAGGGGGAGAGAAGGAGGGCGGCTGGAAACAGGCCAAGTGTGGCTTCTTTAGCCCGAGGTCCCTCAGGGCCACACGCCATGCTGCCTGCTCCCCGTCCGGCTCCCTTCACACTGCCCGTCTGGCTAAAACGGCATGAGAAAGCACAGAGAGCCAGGTACCCCCAGTTCCAACCCTCAGAGCCTGTGCCGCTGCAGGCAGGTCAATCAACCTCTCGGAACCTCAGTTTCTTCATCTGTAAAAGGGGAATAATATTGATACCTACTTCACTGGTAACTGTGAAAATTGAACGAGATACTGCTTAAAATCGCCAAGCATTGCATGGCATGCAGTGGGTGCTTAATAAGTGTTACGTCCTTTTTCTCTTTTCCTGGGGCACAAGGGCTGACAAGAATGGCTCTCCCCATCTCTGTAGCTGGGCCACTCACTGCCCCTCCTGCCCTGACGTCACTGCCCTCAAAAGCCAGCAGCTGGCACAACCGCCCGCCCCCCACAGCACCAACCGCTGGGAAAAATGAGTCAAGGGGTCCCTGCCAGCTTCCCCGGTTCCCCTTGGGGTGGTGCAAGCCTCCCTGCCAGGGCAAGGGCTTCTAGAATGGTCTTCTGGACTCAGGAAAGGCTCCCTGTGGGGCCGGGGCTGGGGCAGAGCGCTGGCTGGCACTTCCAGTGTCCGTCAGGGGCTGGCAGCCCTGCCCTCTCTTATCTGCCCTCTATCGGTGACTCACGGGCACAGGTGGGGCAGCAGTGCTGAGGCCCCGGGGGCAGGAGCTGGCTGGCGGGGCAGCCCACCAGGCTGGGGCACTGCCGTCGGTGACAGCGGAGGCCGGGAGGCCCCTCAGGCTGCAGCTGCAACAGGAACCATGAGCAAGGGCTGGGCCCCAGACCGGGGAGCACAGCCCCCTCTCCCCTCCGTGTGCCTGCAGCACCTCCTCAACAGCCCCCCGACTGGCTCCTCACCCCTCATTCCCGGCCGTGGTTTCCCTTTCCCTCTCCAGTCACTGGGCCTGCACCTGCTGTGACCTTTGACCCTCTTCCCAACCCCACTGCCTCATCTCGGCACCTACGATGCCACTGCCTGCTCCCCATGAATGGAGAGTCTCAGTGGCCCCAACCACTTCCCAGGGGCCTCCTCGCCCATCCTATTCACACCCACTCTGCACTCACCCACTCCACACTCCTGCCAGGAGGGCCTGCCGCTGCCTCCCCACACCCAGCACCGGTGCCATGGTGCCTGGCTAACCGCAAACTTCTGGGACCTGCTGGCTCTTCGCCCCAAGCCCTGCCTCGCCGCCTGGCCACTGGGACACTCTCCCGTCTCTGCCCCTCACAGTGCCTGCTGCCCGCAGTGCCCAGGCTGCCCCCATGGTGCCCCGCCCCTCAGCATGGCCCTCACCCACCTCACAGACGCACACTTCACAGGGGTCTGCCCCAGGCTGGAAGCTGTCCCCTGGCTCGTACTTCCGGCCCGCATGCTCACAGTCTTGGGGGTGAGGTAAGAGCAGATCAGGACCAGGGAGCCTTCAGCTGGCAGCAATGCCAGGAGTGGTGGCGTCCTCTGTCCCCCAGGGGCCCCAGCCCCCAGGCTTTGGGTGTGTATAAAAATGGAAGCCACTTCCGGAAAGGCTGGTCTCTGCCGCCCCCCCCCCAGCACCAAGGCAGGGAGACGCTGACCAGGCACTGCCTCCCTGCCTCCCACCCCACCCCGGGCTCCCAGTACCTGAGCATCGAGGGCAGCAGTCCCGGGGCCCCTGGCGGGGCCGGGCACAGGAGCTGACGCACTGGACCTGGGCGCAGGTGGCCACGCCCTGGTGGCACAGGCAGGAGGAGCAGGGGCTGTCCGGAGGCTCCCAGCTGCTGCCGTCAGGGTGCTCCTCTCCGTGGGCCCAGCAGCCTGTCCAGGGGGCGGGGGTGTCTCTGAGTCTGGGCTCTGTATGCCCCGTCGGCCCACCGTGGGTGGTCAGCAGGGCCTGGGGTCTGCAGGGGGGAGGCGGGGAGGGGGCCTGGCAGAACTGCTGTCTGCGGTGGAGGGAAGACACTGGGCCGGGCTCAGGACTCCTGGGCTCTCAGCCCTGGCATGTCTGCTTGCTGAACCGAAGGCCAGGCAGCAGGCACTGCCTGTTGTAGCCCAGCATCAGCACCAGCACCGGGCATGCAGCGGGCATCTAATACATGCATGCAGCATGAATGAAAGCCTCCATCGCTAACCATGTTACCAAGGTAACTCAGCCTCTCCAAGCCTTAGACTCCAGAGCTGCTAACTGGGATTTCCTCTGTGCTGCCCGCCCCCCAGGGAGATGCTGTTATGGCTCTGGAATCTATGCCGGGCAGAGGGCAGGGGCGGCTTTGAGGGGGCTCTGATAGGCCTCTGGAGGGGGAGATGGTCTGGGCAGGCCAGGGCAGGGGAGGAGGACAGGAGTGAAGACTCAAGGGCTGAGGCCTGGGTGAGCAGGGAGGTGGGAAGCCAGGAGGGGACCTTGAGGGAAGGAGGTTGGGCAGATGGAGGCGCACTGGGCCCAGGGGCAGAAGCAAGGGCAGCCCCCCCCCACCCCTGGCGGGCACACCTCTGCAGCGAGGGCAGCAGCTCCCTGGCTCTGTGACCTGGAGCGGGCAGGCCAGGGGCGGGCACTGCAGCCGCACACAGCGGACGTGGCCGGCCTGCAGGAGATGCGGGGTCAGGGACTTCTCCCGGGCTGGGTGCCCTGAGGCAGTGTGCCCCGCCAGCGTCCCAGCCCCCTTGGGCCCACCCCCCCAGCCGTACCTGACAGCGACAGCGCTCACAGCTGCCTGTGGGCCCCTCAAACTCCTCCCCATCCTGGCGCTGCCGGCCCTGAGAGAAGCACCCTGTGGAGGACATACTTCCTGGTGGGACGCTGTGCCTCCTTGCCCGTCCTGCCTCAGGCCCGGAGGAGGGCAGGGGGGGGCCCGGGCCTGGGGGTGGGGGGGCGGCTCACCGTGGCACACGGGGCAGGAGCAGGGGCCTGGAGAGGGGTGAGGGCAGAGAGCTGGCGGGCATGGCTTCCTCTGGCAGCGCATGGAACCTTCCTGGGGAGAGAGATCGATCACACTGCCACTTCCTGTCCCCACGTCATCACACCCTCAACCCCGGCTACACTCTGCCCCCATATGGGCCCCTACGAGCCTGCCAGGCCCAACCCCTGGCGTGGCCCGGAGGCCTGACCCCAGGCTGTCCCCTCGTCACAGCAGCGGTGCCCAGCAGACGGGGTGGGAGAAACACCCCGGGCCAGACGGGAGGTCAGCGGTGCCAGTTCCCGATCCCCGGGGCCAGCTCACCCGGCAGGTGCAGAGGGAGCAGGTGGGGTCCAGTGGGTCCGGAAGGGTCTCCCCCAGGGCGGCAGTGACGCCGTGATAGAGGCATCCTGGCAGAGCGGGGAGGGCGGGGGAAGAGCTGCTGCCCGCAGAACCGTCTCCCGCCTCACACTCACACTCACACGCTCTCTCACACACGGACTCATACATATACGTACTCACACAGGTACACTTACACATGTATTCCCATACACGCTCACTCATATACTCACACAGACATACACTCGCAATACGCATACACGCACTCTCATACTTTCACACACACATCCTCTCTCACATGTACACACACATACACTCACACAATACACTTACACACATACTCATATACTCTCACACACTCACATACATGCTTACACACATACACTCGCACTCATACTTCCACACACACACACACACACACACGCACACACACAGCCGGCCTGGGAACCTCTCACAGCTTGGGGGTCTGAGCGGGAGAGGGTGGCTGGGAAGGGGCTGGAAGGGGTGAGCATTCTGCAGGAGGCGGGAGGCAGTGGGGCGTGGCGGTGGGTCACAGCGGGAGGCGGTGGGCCACAGACGCTGAGAGTGTCCTGTCGTTGTGGGCGGCGCGGGGAAAGGACAGAAGGACGGGTGAGCGAGGGGCGGGCTCCCGAGGCTCCGGGCAGAGGGAGCCGCTGAGCAGTTTGTCTGGGATGTGCTGTCTTAGGAAGGCAGCGAGGCAGTGTAAGAGCAGGGAGGAGTGGAAGCACGGACCAGCTGTGCGGTGCGCCCAGCACCAGTGAGCGGGGACAGCAGGCACCGAGGACGCGGACAGGGTGAGGCGTGATGGAAACGCAGGCTGAGGGTCTCGGTGGCTGTCTCGGAGCTCTGGGCTGCGGGAGACCAGGAGGGCGGCCGGAGGGCAGGCGTTGCCCTACCCTGGCAGGAGGGGCAGCAGTGCCCGGAGGGGACGAGCGGGTGGCTGCAGCCCGGAGGCGCACAGGGTCTGCGGCCGCAGGTCACAGCGCCTTCCAGGCAGGTGCACAGGCTGCAGGGCTCCCGGGGGTCTGCAAACTCCTGGCCGCTCAGGTAGGACTCCCCGAGGTACTCACAGCCTAGGAGAGGGGACAGGGAGCGGCGGGCTGGGTCAGGAGGGGTGAGAGGACAGGGTCACCAGCTAGGAGCTTGCCCCTGGCCTGAGTCCGAGTCTTGAGGCGTGGCCATGGTGGGGAGGAGGCCTCACCCAGGCTGATGGACAAAGGAGGGGAGAGCTGGGGGAGCGTCGGACTGGCCAAAGGGCAGACTTTCTCCCGTTCACCTGCAGAAAGATCTCCCTGTCCGATCTATAGGGCAAACCCACACAGAATCTGTGCCTGGGCCGGATACCCAGCAGGCCACTGCCCGGTCAGACCTTAGAGCTGGGAGATGCTTGAGATGCCTTAGGCGGCTGGACCCAAGGCATCCCCTTCCCAATGCTCTTTCATGCCCTCTGGTCAAGCAAGGAGGGGCCGGGGGCCCGGGGGATGGGGGGCAGCTTGCCCTGAGCGCTGACACGTTCTGACCTTTTTGAAAAAGAAGGCACTTTGGCGATAATGACCTGTCCGTGTGAGCTCAGCTGTAACCAACATGGGGGCCCTGATAATGAGGGGGGCTGTCCAGGGGGCAGGAAGGAAGTGGGGCAGGGGATATATGGGAAGGATCTGCACCTTCATCTTAATTTTTCTGTGAACCTAAATTTTTTCTTTAAAATAAAAAGTCTGTCAAAATGAGGAAAAGTGGATGAGTCTCAGGCTCAAAGCCTTAGAAGGCCAAAGTATCTGAGTTGAATTTAATATTTGATTTTTAATTGCATTCACATTAATGGCAATGCTCTACTCCTTGCAAATCTAGTTTTCCATTTACAGTAGGATATAAAAGTTCCTTTCTAAATAAATTTCAATTTAAATTTTCAATTTGAAAGAAAATACGAAATAAAGAAAGTTACAGGAGGTGGAGGGTATGTAGAAACAACTGCGGAGATAATAAACAAGAGTGACCGAAGACTGGGGAGCCGGTCTTGTTCAGCTCTCTTTTTTCACAGGAGTTGAGATTAAAAATGGTTAAGATGGCCGAAACCGGTTTGGCTCAGTGGATAGAGCGTCGGCCTGCGGACTGAAAGGTCCCGGGTCCGATTCCAGCCAAAGGCATGTACCTTGTTGCAGCCACATCCCCAGTGGGGGGTGTGCAAGGGGCAGCTGGTCGATGTTTCTCTCTAATCGATGTTTCTAGCTCTCTATCCCTCTCTCTTCCTCTCTTAAAAAAATCAATAAAATATATATATTTAAAAAAATGGTTAAGATGGCCAATTTTAGGTTATGTGTTGTTGTTTTTTTTAAACATGGGGGGGGGGGGGAATTAGGCTCAGAGAGGTTATGTAGCGTGTCCAAGGTCACACAGCCCAATAGCTGTGTGAAAAGCAGGAGAAAATCCAGGCTTTAGTCCAGGGCTTTTTTTTTTCTTACAAGAATGGGGCAGGAAGGATGACTCACACCCAGCCCTCCCGCTTTCCCCACCCCCATGCCCCCTGCCCTCACCGTCGCAGGCAGGGCAGCAGTCACCCCTGGCAGGGAACGGACACTGGGCAGGGGCACAGGCCCTGGGCTCGCAGCTGACGCTGCCCTCCAGGCAGAGGCAGACGTGGCACGGCACGGTGGGCGAAGGGAAGCGCTCCCCGCTGGCGAACTCCTTTCCCTCGTACAGGCAGCCTGCGGGCAGGGACAGGCCCGGGGCTGGGGGGCGGTGGTGGCTGCCCGCCAGGCCCAGCACCTCCCAGCACAGCCTCCCCAAACTCTGAGAGGGGAGGGCCGGGCCAGGAGAGGGGAGCTGGGGTGGAGAAAGGCAGACGGAGGAGGAGCGAGAGGGTGGCCCCAGGGGGAGGCTGCGCTCCAGGCTGGAGGAAGCGGGTGGCGGGGCTGCGGGGCCGGGCGTTACCGTCACAGGAGGGGCAACAGGGTCCCCGGCGGGGGTGGGCGCAGGGGGCGGGCGGGCAGGGCAGCCGCTGGCAGGACACGGCGCCGTCCAGGCAGAGGCAGCGGCGGCAGGGGTCCCCCGGCGGGAAGAAGTGCTCCTGGTGGCCCCCGGGCCTCGGGCAGCTGGAGGGGGAGGCTGAGGCCAGACGGCGTGCATCACGGGGCGCCCAGGGAGAGGCGGCAGCGCACCCCCAGCCCCGGGGGCGGGGAGCGCCCCGGGGTGCAGCCCTTACCTGGGCACTGCGGGCAGCACTCCCGGGGCAGCAGGACGGGCTCCGCACAGGGCGGCGGCGGGCAGCGGCGGGCCAGGCACTGCACGCTGCCGCTCTGCACGGACAGAGGGACCCGGCGGCAGGGTGAGTGCTGGAGGCACAGTGACTTCACCCCTCCCCAGCCCACCTGGAGTGCCCTCGGCCTCCCCAGCCCCACCCCTGCTTCCCCGACTCCTCCCAGCCAGGGGGCGGGCTCACCAGACAGTGGCAGAGGCGGCAGGGGTCCGAGGGGTGGGGGAAGTCTGCTCCGTGGGGGTACTCTTTCCCACCAAAGGCACAGCCTGGGGGAGGGGCAGCTGTAGGCCTGGGGAGGCCCTACTTGCCCAGGTCATGCCCCCCCCCCCAGCCAAATGCCCACGGAAGGGGCCGAACGCTCCCGGGAGAACCCCTTCCTGCCGCCTCACCATCGCAGTTACTGCGGCAGCAGGGCCCGGGCAGCGGGTGGGCGCAGGGGGGCTGGGGGCAGGCCCGGGGCTGGCAGCGGGCATGGCCTTCCTGGCACCAGCACTCCTGGCAGGGGTCCCGGGGGTGGGAGAAGCGCTGGCCGTGCACGAACACCTGATTCTCCAGGATGCAGTCTGGGGACGGGGAGGAATGGGGCGAAGGCTGGCGGTGCAGGAGCAGCAGACAGCTCCTCTCCCCTGGGGCACTTGGGAGCCCTCCCCACAGAGGGAGAGGAGGGGGCTGTGATGCAGGCAAGGGTGTCTCTCTCTGAGGGCACGCGTGTGTGTACTAGCACGTGCATGCACACACACGTGTGTGTGTGTGCAGTCCTTGCACCTGCAGGCACCGTGTGTGCCTTGAGGGTGAGAAGCAGAAGGGCTCCTGAGTGCCACATGCTCTAGCACACGCTCCATGGGCCAGGGCAGGGCACACTGCTCTGCGGCAGCCAGGCTCTCTCACGGCACATCCAGACGTGTGCATGAGCGTGGTGTGTGACACAGGCACGTGTGCATGAGCGTGGTGTGTGACACAGGCACGTGTGCATGAGCGTGGTGTGTGACACAGGCACGTGTGCATGAGCGTGGTGTGTGACACAGGCACGTGTGCATGAGCGTGGTGTGTGACACAGACGTGTGCATGAGCGTGGTGTGTGACACAAGTGTGTGTGCATGAACGTGGTGTGTGACACAGACACGTGTGCATGAGCGTGGTGTGTGACACAGGCACGTGTGCATGAACGTGGTGTGTGACACAGGCATGTGTGTATGAACGTGGTGTGTGACACAGATGTGTGCATGAGCGTGGTGTGTGACACAGACACGTGTGCATGAGCGTGGTGTGTGACACAGGTATGTGTGTATGAACGTGGTGTGTGACACAGGTATGTGTGTATGAACGTGGTGTGTGACACAGACGTGTGCATGAGCGTGGTGTGTGACACAGACACGTGTGCATGAACATGGTGTGTGACACAAGTGTGTGTGCATGAACGTGGTGTGTGACACAGACACGTGTGCATGAGCATGGTGTGTGATACAGACAGGTGTGCATGATCGTGGTGTGTGACACAGACAGGTGTGCATGAGCATGGTGTGTGATACAGACAGGTGTGCATGAGCGTGGTGTGTGACACAGACACGTGTGCATGAACATGGTGTGTGACACAAGTGTGTGTGCATGAACGTGGTGTGTGACACAGACACGTGTGCATGAGCGTGGTGTGTGACACAGGCACGTGTGCATGAACGTGGTGTGTGGCACAGGCATGTGTGTATGAACGTGGTGTGTGACACAGGCACGTGTGCATGAGCGTGGTGTGTGACACAGACGTGTGCATGAGCGTGGTGTGTGACACAAGTGTGTGTGCATGAACGTGGTGTGTGACACAGACACGTGTGCATGAGCGTGGTGTGTGACACAGGCACGTGTGCATGAGCGTGGTGTGTGACACAGGCATGTGTGTATGAACGTGGTGTGTGACACAGATGTGTGCATGAGCGTGGTGTGTGACACAGACACGTGTGCATGAGCGTGGTGTGTGACACAGGTATGTGTGTATGAACGTGGTGTGTGACACAGGTATGTGTGTATGAACGTGGTGTGTGACACAGACGTGTGCATGAGCGTGGTGTGTGACACAGACACGTGTGCATGAACATGGTGTGTGACACAAGTGTGTGTGCATGAACGTGGTGTGTGACACAGACACGTGTGCATGAGCATGGTGTGTGATACAGACAGGTGTGCATGATCGTGGTGTGTGACACAGACAGGTGTGCATGAGCATGGTGTGTGATACAGACAGGTGTGCATGAGCGTGGTGTGTGACACAGACACGTGTGCATGAACATGGTGTGTGACACAGGTGTGTGTGCATGAACGTGGTGTGTGACACAGACACGTGTGCATGAGCGTGGTGTGTGACACAGGCACGTGTGCATGAACGTGGTGTGTGGCACAGGCATGTGTGTATGAACGTGGTGTGTGACACAGACGTGTGCATGAGCGTGGTGTGTGACACAGACACGTGTGCATGAGCGTGGTGTGTGACACAAGTGTGTGTGCATGAACGTGGTGTGTGACACAGACACGTGTGCATGAGCGTGGTGTGTGACACAGGCACGTGTGCATGAACGTGGTGTGTGACACAGGCATGTGTGTATGAACGTGGTGTGTGACACAGATGTGTGCATGAGCGTGGTGTGTGACACAGACACGTGTGCATGAGCGTGGTGTGTGACACAGGTATGTGTGTATGAACGTGGTGTGTGACACAGGTATGTGTGTATGAACGTGGTGTGTGACACAGACGTGTGCATGAGCGTGGTGTGTGACACAGACACGTGTGCATGAACATGGTGTGTGACACAAGTGTGTGTGCATGAACGTGGTGTGTGACACAGACACGTGTGCATGAGCATGGTGTGTGATACAGACAGGTGTGCATGATCGTGGTGTGTGACACAGACAGGTGTGCATGAGCATGGTGTGTGATACAGACAGGTGTGCATGAGCGTGGTGTGTGACACAGACATGTGTGCATGAACATGGTGTGTGACACAAGTGTGTGTGCATGAACGTGGTGTGTGACACAGACACGTGTGCATGAGCGTGGTGTGTGACACAGGCACGTGTGCATGAACGTGGTGTGTGGCACAGGCATGTGTGTATGAACGTGGTGTGTGACACAGACGTGTGCATGAGCGTGGTGTGTGACACAGACACGTGTGCATGAGCGTGGTGTGTGACACAGGTATGTGTGTATGAACGTGGTGTGTGACACAGGTATGTGTGTATGAACGTGGTGTGTGACACAGACGTGTGCATGAGCGTGGTGTGTGACACAGACACGTGTGCATGAACATGGTGTGTGACACAAGTGTGTGTGCATGAACGTGGTGTGTGACACAGACACATGTGCATGAGCATGGTGTGTGATACAGACAGGTGTGCATGATCGTGGTGTGTGACACAGACAGGTATGCATGAAACTGTGTGATACAGACAGGTGTGCATGAGCGTGGTGTGTGACACAGGCACGTGTGCATGAGCGTGGTGTGTGACACAAGTGTGTGTGCATGAACGTGGTGTGTGACACAGACACGTGTGCATGAGCATGGTGTGTGATACAGACAGGTGTGCATGATCGTGGTGTGTGACACAGACAGGTATGCATGAAACTGTGTGATACAGACAGGTGTGCATGAGCGTGGTGTGTGACACAGGTATGTGCACATGAACATGGTGTGTGACACAGACAGGTGTGCATGAGCGTGGTGTGTGACACAGGCAGGCAGACAAATACACTGAGCGGCGTGGGGCAGGAAGAGGAGACGCAGGCTGGGGAAGAAGGGCGATGTGGGGACATGAAGGAGAAACAAGTCTGCCTCCCACCCAGGCCCTGTGTGCTCCCCGCTTTGCCAGGCGGAACGTTGAGGAGGCCGCGGCTGCCCAAGGGAACTGCTGTGCTGGAGGGGTTGGGGGACTCAGGGCTGGGTCCCCCGAGCCAGACAGGCACAGCGAGCACGTACCTGGGCAGCTGGGGCAGCACTGGCCTGGTCCGCTCCGGGGCCTGGCGCATGTGGTGGGTGGACAGGCCACCGAGGAGCACCTCACGGTGCCGTCCTGGGAGGAGGGAGAGGGTGGTAGGGGTCGGTCCTGAGCGGGGCTCAGGGGGCAGCAGCAAGCCCGGGGGTACCTCGCAGCGGCAGGCATGGCAAGGGCGGTCTGTGTCCGTGAAGTTGTGCCCGTTGGCATACACGTGGCCGTGGTAGGTGCAGCTCTCACAGCTGGGGCAGCAGGCGCCTGGGCGGGCAGAGTGGTCAGAGCCCAGCTGACCAGGGCGGGCGGGCAAAGCAGGGGTGGAAGGCAGGTCAGCGCGGGGCACTCACCAGGGGTCTGGGTGGGGTGCTGGCAGGGGGCCGGGGGGCAGAGCACAGCCCCGCACACGGGCACCCCGTCTTGACAGGAGCAGGCTGTGCAGGGCTCACCGTCAGGCTCCCACTGGACGCCATCGGCAAACTCCTCTCCGCCAAGCACGCAGGCTGGAGCAAGGGGGCTGTCACCATGGCAACCTGGACACCTCCACCCAGCCCTCCCCTTCCCAGGACCCGCGCTTTACCGCCCCCACAGCAGCCTCTGCATATACGCTGGGTGGGTTGGTGGGCTTAGCAATGCCCCCTCCATCTCCAGCCCCTTTGCAGCTGCCCCCCTCCCCCAACGCCTCCCCACACACCTGAGCACAGCTGGGGAACAGAGTCTGACTGGGTGCAAGGGGCGACAGGGCACTCCTGCTCCTCACAAGACACCTCGCCGGCCTGGGAGGGAGGGACCCGGGTGAGGGCCTCAGGAGGAGGCAGACCTGGGGCGGGAGGCAGGGGCTGCCTACCTGGCAGGAGCAGCGCAGGCAGCGGCCGCCCTCCTGGAACCGGAAGGTGTCCTGGCTCTGGTAGTAGTGTCCCTGGTACTCACAGCCTGGACAGGAGGGTATGGGACGGGGGACAGGGCAGGAGGCTGACGGGGAAGCCTCACGCGCCCTGACATCTACCTCCCGCCCTGATGAGGACAGCCACCTTCAGGGGTCCCTGCCAGCCCCCCACCCCCGGAAGCCAGGGCCCCACCACAGTGCCTGTGGGCCACGAGAAGGTGAGAACTAGTCCCTCTTGGTGGGGAAAGGAGCATAGTTTTTGTTTGTTTGTTTGTTTAATATATTTTATTGATTTTTTACAGAGAGGAAGGGAGATGGATAGAGAGCTAGAAACATCGATGAGAGAGAAACATCGACCAGCTGCCTCTTGCACACCCCCTACCGGGGATGTGCCCACAACCAAGGTACATGCCCTTGACCGGAATCGAACCTGGGACCTTTCTTTTTTTTTTTTTTTCTTAAATATATTTTTTATTGATTTTGTACAGAGAGGAAGGGAGAGAGAGAGCTAGAAACATCGATGAGAGAGAGTCATCTATCAGCTGCCTCTTGCACATCCCCTACTGGGGATATACCCGCATCCAAGGCACATGCCCTTGACCGGAATTGAACCCGGGACCCTTCAGCCCCCAAGCTGACGCTCTATCCATTGAGCCAAACCGGTCTCGGCTGAACCCGGGACCTTTCAGTCTGCAGACCGACGCTCTATCCACTGAGCCAAACCGGTTTTGGCAGGAGCTTATTTCATAAAGTATTTCCTCTGGACTTGAATTCAAGAGGGCTTCTGTAGTCCCAGGCGGCACCCGCACCACACGCCAAGGACTCTCCCTGGCCAGTGCCCGCCCCTCACCCAGGGCCTGGGGCCCCCACTCACCGGCACAGACGGGGCAGCACTGCCCGGGGAGCCTGCCTGGGTGTCTGCAGGGCGCGGCTGGGCAGGGCAGAGGCTCGCACTGGACAGTCCCGTTCTGACAACAGGGCCTGGTCAGCATCGGGGAGGCGGGCCCGGGAGCCAGGCCCTCCCTGCGGGGCGGCCACACTCACAGCGCAGCGGCAGTGCGAGCAGGGGTCCCCGGAGCCCACCGGCTCCCCGCTGAGGTACTCCCGCCCGTTCAGGAAGCAGCCTGTGGGGGAGAGGGTGCCTTAGACCCTCCTCAGGGGCCCCCCCACCGCTGCCCCAAGGCCTGGCCTTCGTGGGAGGCGGAGCCTGGCTGTCAATCAGGTCTGGAGCCCCTCCAGGCTTCACCGCCTGACTCACCATCGCACACGGGGCAGCAGGTGCCCGGGAGGGGCCGGGCGGGGTACGGGCACAGGCTGGAGCATTCTCGCTGGCGGCACTGGATGTGGCCCTCCTGGTGGGGGCAGGGGTGAGGCCATGGGAGCTCAGCCACGTGGTGGAAACAGCACTCGCCTCCCAACTATCCACTCACTAGACATTGTGATGAGTGGAATTGTGTCCCCCACAGACACACATTCACCTACTGAACGTGACCTGATTTGGAAATAGGGCCGTTGTGGAGGTAAAGAGTGGGGCGGCTCCCAATCCAGGGCCTGGTGTCCTTGTACAAAGGGGAAATTTGGATACACACACATACACACACAGTCCAACTTCCGGCTTCCAGAATCACAAGACAACACATTTCTGTTGGTTAAGCCACTCCATTTGTGGTTCTTTGTAATGACAGCCCTAGGAAACTAATATCGATGTGTAACCTGTCTTGCTACTTAAGTCCTCTGTGACTCAGTTTTTTCATCTGAAAAAAAAGAGACACACTTTGGCTGGTTGCTTAATGGTTAGAGCATCTTCCCTCAGACTGAAGGGCTCTGGGTTTGACTCCTGGTCAAGGGCATGCAACTTGATTGCAGATCCATACTCGGGGTACGTGTGGGAGGTGACCAATCAATGTCTTTCTCTCTCTCTCTCTTTCTCTCTCTCTCTCTCTCTCTCTCTCTCTCTCTCTCTCTCTCTCTCTCTCTTTCTCTCTCTCTCTCTCTCTCTCTCTCTCTCACTTTCTCTCTCTCTCTCTCTCTCTCTCTCTCTCTCTCTTTCTCTCTCTCATTGATGTTTCTCTCCCCCCGCCTCTTCCCTCCACTCTTTCTAAAATATAATCAATTGAAAAAATATCCTTGGGTGAGAATATAAAATAAAAAGAGAGAGGTAACAATATTCCTCTCCTCATAGCCCTGTAATGGGCATGAGGTTGAGGTGTTGGTGTGGCATCAACCTCTGGAAGCTGGCAGTTACAAAACAACAGCTTCTGCTACTCCCCCTGGACCATCCCTGGAGTTCACGCCCACATAGACCATCCCTGGAGTCCATGCCCACATAGGCCATCCCTGGAGTTCACGCTCACATAGACCATCCCTGGAGTTCATGCCCACACCTGGACTCACTGCCTCTAGCACCATTAGTGTCTGGGCAGCTAGTGACCCTTCTCACAGGTGTGTGCAGGGCCAGAACAGAGAGGGGAAGCACTTGGTCGTAGAAGGGTCCATGGCCTTCACAATGGATCCCTTAGTCCTCGGCAGGCTGTTGTTCGGTGGCTGGCTGCAGGCCCCTGGAAACAGCCTTCCTCAGCAGGCACCTCTGGTTCCCACCTTCCTCCCTCAGGTTCTGCCCAGATGTTCCCTACATCTGGTGTCTCATCCGGTTGGGCTGCTGGAAGTCCAAGGTCAAGGTACCAGCAGTTGGCGAGAACCTGCTTTCTGGTTCATAGATGGCTGTTTTCCTGCCCTCACCTTGCAGCAGGGGGTGCGGAAGCCCTAAGGGTGTGATCTCTTTCCCTTAGGATCTAAGCACCTCCCAGAGGCCCCGCCTCCTAATACCATCACCTCGGAGGATAGGATTTCAGCATATAATGGGGGGGGTGGGGGGGGCTGTCTCAGTCATTCAGTCCATACCCCCTGGAGAGTCTTTCCCCATTTCTCCTGCTTAAATCTACTTGCCCTTTAAGACCTAGTGAACACCACCCCTTTGTGAGGATTTTCTAGAGCTGTGCTGCCCCATGGAAATATAACACACGCCACACATGTCACTTTAAACTTTCTAGTTGTCACATTTAAAAAAAAAAAAATAGAAACAGGTGGAACTAAATTTTAATGTTCCACTCAACTCAATATATCCCAAATGTTGTTTCAACATGTAATCAGCACAGCGTATAACGAGATAGCTTACATTCCTTCCTCTCTGTCTACTACATCTTTAAACTGGTGTGTATTCTGAATGAAAGCCCATCTCAGATCTGACGGCCACATTTCAAGGGCTCAGTGGCCACATGCAGTTGTAGCAACTGATGAGACCTCGAAGTTCCAGACATCTCAAAACCATCTGTGTCTCTTCCTCCCTGGCTTGTACCACCTGCCACATCCTGCCTGCCAGCTCCTGAGTTCAGTTCACAAACCCATGCTGTACACCTGCTCTGCTCAGAGCTGGGCACGCAAACGGGCACTCTCCACCCCTGGCCCCACACAGTGCCTTTGGGATGTGCGCAGTGGAATGAAGGAATGAATATGCTGGGCCTGGGGGAGCGGGGTGGGGGTGGGGGGGGTAACCGGGGAGCAGTCGGGCTTACCAGGCACTGGCAGATCCGGCAGGGGTCCCCAGGTACAGTCCATTCTTGGCCATGCTCCCGGCGAGAGCCACCTTCTGTGCAGCCCGGGGCTGTGGGGAGATGGGCAGAGAGGAGGCCCAATGGGAGCCAGCCTGGACTCCAGTTTCAGTCTGCCACCACCCTCTTCTGAGCCCTCTTGGTGGCTGCCAGCGTCCCAGCTGGGTAAGGCCACGCTCCTAGCCTGCCTTCCATGCTTTCCAAGACCCAGCGGGGCCACACCCCCTCTCCCCACCTCTCCGTGGAAGGTTTGTTTGCTTGCACCTTCCCACTTAACATCCACCACACTCACTCTTGAGTGTCTGTCCCAAGCCTCTGCTCTAGCTGTCCTCTCCTCCTGGGATGACCTCTGCTTATTCCACCCTTCACCTCGCCAACTGGTCTTGCTCCTTAAGGTTCACTCAGGACGCCTGCCCTCCTGTGCCCACACTGGGCCAGATCTTCTCCCTCTGAGTTTCCATGGTACCTGAGCCTGCTTCCTCATCTGCTTTGGAGACAGTATTGGTGTGTGACTCACTGTCACCCTCTAGTGGACAGCCTCAAGGGCCCATCCGGTCTTAGGTGCACACAGTAGATAATAGTCGATATTATTAAGGTAGTATATCATTACCCACTCCTCACAGATGGGGAACTGGGGCACAGAGCAGCTCACTCAGAGGCCACAACCACCACGTGGCAAGGACAGAATCTGAGCTCAGGACCCGCTCCAGAGTCGGTGTGGCCAGGCATCACTCTCCCACTAACCGGACCACCAGGTCCGAGCCAGCAGGGTGGGCTCTGAGTGAAGAAATGATGTGACAGCCCTGCCTGAATCCGCCCAGGGAGGAGCCAGGGCTCACCTTGGCAGGCCGGGCAGCAGTGGCCAGGCCTCAGGACTGGCTCAGGGCAGGGGCTGGCCAGGCACTTCATGGGCACACACTGAACCAGGCTCCTCTGTAATGCACCAACAGCTGTCAAGCCTCTGGGTCTGGCTCCCAGAGGGAGCAAAGCAGGCAGGTGTGGGCACCCTTGGGAGGTGGGCACAGGGTCAGGCAGAGAGTGAAGGGCCCCGGAATACATGTGAGGCTGAGCGCAGGGGGCCTCCTGGAGGAGCAGGGGCCTCCCCGGAGGAGCAGGGGCCTCCCCGGAGGAGCAGGGGGCCTCCTGGAGGAGCAGGGGCCTCCCAGGAGGAGCAGGGGCCTCCTGGAGGAGCAGGGGCCTCCCCGGAGGAGCAGGGCCTGGGCAGAGGGTACAGGGACTCACCAGGCAGGAGCACTGGAGACAAGGGTTGGAGCTAGACAGGAAGCTGGCCCCCTCCTGGTAAAGCTGCCCCTCGTACTCACAGCCTGGGGGAGGGGGGTGCCAGGATGACAGGCTGGTCAGGTGAGAGCGTGGTGGGTGGGAAGGCATGACCCCAAATAGGTACCGGACCCTCGGGGGCTGAGGGGCGGAGGGCAGGCAGGGTGGGGAGGTCACCTGGCCGGCAGACGGGGCAGCACTCTCCGGGTGGGGTGTAGCTCTCCAGGCAGTTAAGCTCTGGGCACGAGGGCCCCTGGCACTGCACGGTCCCTGCCTGCGGGGCAGACACTGAGCCCTCCCTCCCTCTCCACTGCAGGTTACTGGGAGTTACTCCGCGGGCCTGGCAGGCCTAGCGGGCTCCGGGCCTCGATGCCTGGCTGGCAGCAGCAGCCCATCAGCCCCAGGTTGGGCGTGGCGCTGCCAGGCCTGGGGGCTGCCGGCAGAGCAGCAGGGACCTGGGTGGTGGGTGGGGCCGGGCTCCGATCCCCTTACCTGGCAGGAGCAGGTGACACAGGGCTCAGCTCGCCATGTTTCCCCAGCCCTGGGACCGTCCGAGCAGCCTACAAAACCAAGGCAGACCCCCAAGTAAGAGCCCCAGAGACTGGCAAAAGCAGCCCATGACAAGGGAGTACCATTCAGGAGGTAGATGGCAGAGATGTTGGTATTTACTACCACTGTCCAGGAGATGGAAGTAAAGTGTCTGGCGCTAACAGTAGATTTTCAGTGTTTACAGCGGATGAAAGTGTTGAGGAAGGGGTGCCTTTTTAAAAATGCATGTTAGTTTGTTGTTTGTTTATTAGAGAGAGAAGAAGGGACATGGAGAGGGAGAGACATTGATCTGTTGCCTCCTGTATGCACTACAACTGGGAATCAAACCCAAAATCTAGCATGTGCCTGGACACGGAAATCGAACTAGCTACCTTTTGGTGCATGGGACCACGCTCAGCCAACTAAGCCACACTGGCCAGGACAGCATGCCTTTTAAAAACATATGTAGCTGAAACCAGTTTGGCTCAGTGGATAGAGCGTCGGTCTGTGGACTGAAAGGTCCCAAGTTCGATTCCGGTCAAGGACATTTACGTTGGTTGCGGGCACATCCCCAGGAGGGGGTGTGCGAGAGACAGTTGATAGATTATTCTCTCTCATCAATGTTTCTAACTCTCTATCCCTCTCTTTTCCTCTCTGTAAAAAATCAATAAAATATATTTTTAAAATAACATACACACACACACACACACATTATTGATTTCAGAGAGGAATGGAGAGGGAGAGAGAGAAAGAAACACCAATGATGAGAGAGGATCATTGATTTGCTACCTCTTGCATGCCCCCTGCTGGGGATTGAGCCCACAACCCAGGCACATGCCCTTGACTGGAATCAAATCTGCGACCCTTCAATCTGCAGGCTAATGCTCTATCCACTGAGCCAAACCAGCTAGGGTGCTTTTTTAAAAACAATTTCCACCAAAGACATAAATGGTCTAGCAGTGGCTGAGGTGCCACTTCTCCAGGCTGTGTGAGCACGTGTCGGGTTTTATCTGAGATCCATCAACTCCAGCGTCACTCCTCATCTCCCACCAAGACTCCGGGACCTACCACTTCCTGAGCCAGTCTCCCCTTTCCCACTGCCAGCTGAAGTCTTCCGGGCACAGTAGAGGATGCTCCATTAAATTTGAAATCCAGATTGTGGATTAAAAAAGGGGAGGGGGTTCAATGCAAGTGACCTCACGGGGCGATCTGATCAGGAATTCCTAATGGGCAGGTCACTGTTGGTAGTAGTGCCCAGACCTATAACTTCTTAGTAAAAATATATATATATATTTTTTTTTTTTGGGGGGGAGGGTATCTTTGCTTTTATTGTGCAAGTAGGTTAACACATCTTTGAAATAAGCCAAAACCACCCTCAAGTGAGCACATAATCTTAACGATCTTGTAATCCAATTCCCGCCTTGCTTTCTCCAGCCTTCCTTATCTTCCCTCCTTAACTTCAAACGCACTGAAGAAGCTGCAAGTCTGTTACGATCCAGAACATCTGAGATCTTGCTCCTCGGCTTATGTCATCAGTTTGGCTCAAATAAACTCTTATAAAAACTATTTATGTGTTTGGATGTTTCCTGTGTTGACTAGATAAACAACTCCTACTTGTTTCGTGTAAGTGTGTTCCACATTGCACACTTCCACTCAGTAAGCATGGCTTGCTTATCTGAACTGCACATCTAACCGGGCAGCCTGCCTTTTTATTTGCTAAATCCGACAACCGGTCTCCCCGATCATGAGCTGGCAACAAGCCCCCACAGCACTGCTTCCGCTTCCTCCCAGCTCTCTTCACCTCGCTGGCACGGCTGCCCTCCTGCTCCACTGCCTCCTCCTTTTCCACTGGCCCATGGGATCCAACCGCCACCAGCTCCTACCCGTTCTTTAGAAATGCCCCTCCTTCTGCAGCCACAGCCACCTCTGACGCCGCTCGAATAGTCCCCTAACTGGTCCCTCTGCACCCAGCACAACGCCGGAGGAATACTCCTAAAGCACCTCTTTGAACATGCCACACTCTGGCTCTTCAGCTCTCCGCGGCTCCCTATTGCCCACAGAAGAAAGTTCAAACTGCATGGCTTACAGCAGTCCGTACCACTGGCCTTTCCAAACTGATTTCCTGCATCTCCCCCTCCCCCCGCCCCCCCCCCCCCATCTTTGTCCAGAGGGCCCTGCAGCACTGTCTCTTTCTGGTGACATCCACCTTTCCCTTGAAGATCTAGCTCAGACACCCCACTGGTACCTGGTCTGGGTAGGATTCCCCCGCCAATTACTGCCTTTCTACACCTCCTTAATCTGTTCATTGGAGGGAGGGAAAGTGGGAGGGGAGAGAGAGAGAGAGAGTTGTTGTTTCACTTATTTATGTATTCATTTGTTGATTCTTGTATGTGCACTGACTGAGGATCAAACCCACAACCTTGGCATATGGGGACCCCACTGGTGATCCATGAGGTCCAAAAGGTTGGCGACCACCCTCTAACCAACTGAACTACCCAGCCAGGGCGTGCTCACTGGACTTTGTATCTTCTCAGTGAGACCAGAAGCTCCCCGAGGGCACTCTTAGACCCAGCCACAGTCAGCACTTTGTTGACTTGCTTCATTCTGAACTCCTCTAGCCACTGCCAGCTTGAGTGGGCAGGCACCCTCTGGGCATGTAGCAGGTGATGGCAGACCCTGGCCCCGGGGCCCCAGAATAAGTACGGAAGTGGGGCTGGGCTGGCAGAGGCTGACCTGGATCACAGTGTGGGCAGCATGCTCCTGGCTCCGGACAGGGTCCCCTTGGGCATGGCTTCTGGCTGCAGGTGACGGCTCCTTCCTGCGGGGAGGCAGACGGTGGTGCACAGGCGTCAGAAGCCAGGAGGGTAGGGCCTCCAGAACCGAAAGCTCCCCCCCCCCAGGCTAGGGTTGCCAGAGGAGCCAGAGGCTGAGTCTGCTCAAGGGTCATGGGCGACTCCTGGTCCAACGGCAGAAAAGAGACATCCTACCCCCAACCCCCTCATTCCCTGATCCCAGAAATCGTCTCTCCCAGGTGCCACCAAATTCCCAGAGTGGAGGAAGAGGACAAGGCCTTCCTCAATGGCAGAGTGAGGGACAGCCAGAGAAGGTGGCTCTGGGGGCAGGTGAGGGAGAACGGGTGGGAAGGTGACAAGGGCAGATGGACGACCAGGGCAGTGAGAGTCCACAGGACAGGGTGATGTGGGAAGCCAGGCAACATCATTCCCTTTGCCCTCCGTGCTCCTGTTTGCCACGTGCATGGGGCCTGAGCCCCAGAAAGCCAAACTACTCAGAATCAGCTGAGGGCCACCAGGGGCAAGGCTGGGGAAGGGACAGGCAGCGACAGGGAGGCAGACAGGTAACGGGGGCAGGCAGGGGCCTTCAGGGGGCCCTGGAACTCACCAGGCAGTGGCAGGTGGTGCAGGCATCAGGGGAGAAGGTCTCCCCATTGCCATAGGCCTGACCATTGTGGCTGCAGCCTGGGTAGGAGAGAGTGCTGTCCCTCAGGCCCCCAGGCCCACCTCGAGGCCCCGGGGTGGTGCAGCAGGCAGATGGGGTGGCACTCACCGTGGCACTGGGGCAGGCCAGGCTTGGGATCACAGAGAGCGGCCCCACCCTGGCAGACGCAGGCCGTGCAGGCGTCAGGCTCCCAGCGGGCCCCCTCCGGCCAGGCCCTCCCCAGCGCCCAGCACTGGGGGGAAGCGGGGCGGCATTCGCAGGACTCCAGCTGCCTCACCCTCTCCTGCAGGTCTTGGTTCTGGAGCAAAGATTTGGGGGGTTGGAGGTGCTGGCTCAGCTTCCCCCACAGATCTGTGGGTTGAGGCAGCGTGAGAAGGAAACGTGACAGTTCCCACGTAGACACAGGTCGGTCAGCATCCAGCTCAAACCGTCACATTCTCACGACCAAGGTGGGGGTGGGGGTCTGGGTAGGACCCCAGGAGATCATGGTGCCCCCAGGCTTCTCCTTTGGACAGAGGACAGCCAACCCCCCCTCAACAATTAAAGTCCTTTATTCATTCAAAAACCCTTCCTGACGATGCCGTATGGGTGCTCTCTAATGTTTGCAAGTACCTGGAGGAATATGAAAGGCTGGGTTGACAAAACAGACACCCTGGAGGGTCTACGTTTTCATGAAAGAAATGATATTAAGAACGGTTCACATAAGAATCTCTCCATGTGCGTTTAAAACAAAACTATTTTAGGGCCCCTTCGTGCCGCTGCCCCCAAGGCCAGCTCTCCTCTCCTCTCCTCCCCCTGCACAGGCTGCCCCACCCCGCGCACAGAGCCCAGGCCCGCCTGCCCGGTACCTGCGCTCTGAGCTGTGCCACCTCAGCCTCCAGCCTTTCCAGCGACTGCTGCAGAGGGCGCCACTGCTCCTGGGCGGCCCCGGCGGGGTCTGAGGAGCGGGCTGGAGCCTGCTGCTGGTAGTCACGGATGTCAGCAAGCCCCAGGGACTCCCCGGGGACAGCGCCACCTGAAGGCAGAGAACCCAGGATGGGCCTGTGGGTGAGGGGCTAGCGAGGTCCTGGGTTCTGCCTTCCCGATGATGTGCCCTCCCCTGTCCACCTGCCACCCTCATCCGTGGAAGGAGACAGGGTCTGTGAGGCTGTCCGAGTGAAAATGCGGAGGGGAGGAGGGGGCAGGAGGAAGGTGGAGAGGGAGGAGGGGGAGGGAGCCCTGTGTGGACGAAGGTGACCCAGACCAGCTCTCCCCAGGGCCCAGCCCCAGGGATGCTGGGCCTCTGGGGGCACAGGGAGCACCTCGACCAGAGCCCCCCTGCACGTCAGGGTCACTCATTCATCCTCACGTGGGCCGGGGGCGTGGCCAGGGGAGCCTGGAGCTGAATGCCATGCTGGGAGGCCCAGAAGCTGGCACAGGCTGGGGTGCAGGAGGGGGAGACAGACGTGTGAGAGGCGGCTGCTGGAAGGTGCCCAGGCTCTGGTGTGAGCGAACCCTGCCTGCGGTCTTCACCTGTCAGAAAGGAGATGTGTCGAAACCGGTTTGGCTCAGTGGTAGAGCCTCGGTCTGCGGACTGAGGGGTCCCGGGTTCGATTCCAATCAGGGGCATGTACCTTGGGTGCGGGCACATCCCCGGTAGGGGGTGTGCAGGAGGCAGCTGGTCGATGTTTCTCTCTCATCGACGTTTCTGGCTCTCTATCTCTCTCCCTTCCTCTCTGTAAAAAATAAATAAAATATATATAAAAAGAAAGGAGACTGTGTGTGTGTGTATTGGCGGGTGTGTGTGTGTGTGTGTGTGTGTGCTATAACTCCGCTCTCTGTTCCCACCTCGAAGACTGGCCACAGTGTCCAGTCTGTGACCGAGGGGCCTGGGGACCCCCCATGGGGCAGGCTGGGTCCCAGAGGGTGAGGCCAGGCTGCATTCCCTGGATGGTTTGGGGGAGCTCCTGGCAGGGCCCCCACCAGCTATAAGGCGCGGGGCCAAACGAAGACAGCTGTCCCGGTTCCAGGTGACATGATGTTGAGGGAAAGGGGGACCTCTGAGTTCAGACCGAGGCTTGGACCCCTCTCCTGGGGCAGGAAAAGAAAAGCCGTGGCCGGGGGCAAGCTAACGCCACAGACATCCTCAGACGGCCCGGTGGGCAGGCACAGAGGGGCTGGAGGGCGGGGAGGGAGCGGGGAGGGTCTTTCCCACAGAACAGCTCATTCGTGGCTAGACGGGCTTCTCTCACGGACATTAGTGAGGCAGGGGACCCACTCTCCCCTCCTCCCCACTGCCATCCCCAACGGGGGCTGGAGATTCCGGTCCAAAACCCAAGTTGTCCGCTTTCCTCCACACCTGCGTGGCCTGGGTCCTGGCGTGGTTAATGCCATCCCATCGATGCAGAAATCTGGGGCTCAGCTCCCCCCTGCTGCCCCTCCCCACACCCCATGGTCTCTGGTCCCACCCAAGCGCTCCCAGCCCACTCCGCTCTCCTCTGCTCTCCTCTGTCTCTGCCAAGGAGACGGAAGACAGAGTCCTCCCGCCTCCAGCCGCTGCTCCCCTCCCCTGGCACAGCCTTTCTGAACCACACGCCCGGAGGTTCCCAGCAGCAGGTCCCAATGTGCCACCCACCATTTCAGCCTCCCTGCTCCCCCTCACACCCAGGGTGCTGACAGCCCAGCACAGGCGGGCACCCAAACCTCTGTGCATGCTGCCCCTCCCTGCGCAGGGTCACCGGAGTGGCCCTCTGCCCCGGCTCCCGTACCGGCTGCCTTCCTGACCAGCCCGGGAAGGACGGCCAAGGACCAAGGACGGGGTCTCAGCATCTTCCACCCTCCCCCCCCAGCTTGACTCCCATCCCTCCTCCGGACCTGCTTAAGCAGGAACAGTCAGAGGGTCAGGGAGCGGCTGGGGGTCCCCTGTGACGCCAGGGGAGACAGGGCAGGGCCGGGCCTGGAGAGACCCACAGAAAGGGCGCCTGAGGACTGCAAAGCACGGCTGCTCCCCACGGAGCAGTCCTCAGCTCCCCTCCCTGATCCCTCTTTTCCCCGCCCGTCCCGCTGGGGGAGGGCCAGGCTCAGCGATTCAGTCAGCTCCCACAGCGGCCTCTCTTTCCCTCTTTCTCAAGACAAGTAATTAACTTCAGACTCGCAGATTCCAGGGCCTCCCCCCCGCGGCGGCCTGCAGGAACTCCTCCCGAGGCCGCAGCAGGAAGCCCCTCCCTCCCCTGACCCCACACCCCGGCCTCCCCGCTCCCCCACCGCGCGGGCCCCTCCAGCCCAGGCAGGGCCCGGGAGAGGCAGCTGCAGCCCCAGCTCCTTCCCTTCGACCAGTCTGAGCAAGGACGGGTCCTGCCTGGCGGACCCCAAGCCCTTGCCTCTCCAACTTACCTCTGCCCACCCCCTGGGCCTGCGCCAGGCTCAGGAGCTGGAGGAGGAGCAGCTGCGGAGCGGCCCCCAGCCCAGCCATGCTCGCTCTGTCTGGCTGCTGGCTGTGGTCTCGGCTCAGCAGGCACTGGGGGAGGCGGGGTGGGGACACGCCAGGCCGCCTCCCACCCAGGCTTTGTTCAGGGAGAGCTTCTGGAGTCTGTCAGCCTGCAGGCTGCGCCTACCTCCTGCTGGGCACCTCGATCCCGGGGTCCCATTCCGGGCCTGACCCAGTCCTGCTCCCAGCTGTAGCAGCCCCAGACCCGCAGGGAGTGGAGAGGGACTGGGAGCGACTTCTTCTTGTGAGACCCTGAAAGTATTGGATAGACACAAATGTGTCCCTCTGGGGCCTGAGACAGCTGGCCTCCCTGCCCCCTTCCCATCCAGCTTTTTTTTTTTTTCTTTTTAAAAAAATATATTTTATTGATTTTTTACAGAGAGGAAGAGAGAGGGAGAGAGAGTTAGAAACATCGATGAGAGAGAATCATCGATCAGCTGCCTCCTGCACACCCCCTACTGGTGATGTGCTCGCAACCAAGGCACACGCCCTTGACCGGTATCGAACCCGGGATCTTTCAGTCCACAGGCCAACACTCTATCCACTGAGCCAAACCGGTTTCAGCCCCAGTCCAGCTTTTATCCTTTCTCGCCTGTGTACAGGAAAAGTGGACTGAGCTGGGTTCAAATCCCAGTTCGGCCAATTCCATATGCCCTTAGGCCAATGGTCAGCAAACTCATTAGTCAACGGAGCCAAATATCAACAGTACAACAATTGAAATTTCTTTTGAGAGCCGGAAACTGACTTCTGCGCATGGGCCACGAAGTTTTAATCGCACTGTACGTGCGCACCCACACGAGGTATTTTGTGGAAGAGCTACACTCAAGGGGCCAGAGAGCCCCATCTGGCTTGAGAGCCACAGTTTGCCTACCACTGCCTTAGGCAGTCCCCTTAACTTCTCTGTCCCTTAGACTCCCTATTTGTAGATTGGAGTTAATAATAGCTACTTTATAGACTGGCAGTGCGGATTCAGTGCGATTAGTCGGGTAAAGAATTTCGGGTAGTGGTTGGCACATGCCAAGGGCTCAGTAAACAAATAACCATTGTTGCTACCCCCTCTGAAATCGGGTAGTCACCTCCTCCTTTCTCCACCTATTCATTCTTCCCTAGGCTCTACTCACCCCCTGTGCACCCCAGCAGGCCCAGGCTGGGTCCCCGATGCCAAGGCCTCTCTTTGCTGCCTGGTCCCAGCCCGCTTTCCAGCTCCTGAGCTCAGGCCTGGCCTGGGGGTTAGCAGTGAGCAAGGCAGGGGGCAGGGCCAGGCCATGGACTCAGCAGGCAAATGGGGCTCAGGGCGGAAGTGAGGGGAGCTGGCCACGTGGGCCCACAAGTCTGGGAAACTCCTTAGTGCAGCTGGGAAGCAGAGGGAAGGAGGGATGGGCCCCAAACTCACAGGCACAGGGACACTGAGGGTGGAGCCGTGAATCCTGCCAAAGGCGGCTGCCTGCTGCCATAAAGGCCAGCAAGTCAGAGGCCAGCCCTGCCCCGGCCCAGGCAGAGACAAAGGTCCCCCGGCCCACTCCCCATGCACCTTAAGAGAGGGCAGCTTCTCCCCAGGGCCTGTGGGCCCCTTACAGGGCCTGAGCAGCCGGCAGCGGGGGAGGGGCTGGAGGCCCATAGGAGCAGAGGAGGGCCAGGAGCAGCTGGCGGGAAGGAACGGGAAGTGGCAGCTCGGTCTCCGCCGTGTTAAGGAAAAGGATGTGTGTTGTACAGCAGGTCCCTCGGGAGGCTGCGGGGAGGAGCGGCAAAGAGCTGCCAAGTCCCATCCTGGAGCAGATGCTTCCTGCTGGTGACCTCGGGCAAGTCGTTTGCCTTCAGGGTTAAATGTTCTTCGCTGTGCCCTGTCCTCTAACAGCACCCGCCTCACCGAGGTCTGTGAAGGTTAAACAAATAAACGGCCGGAAAGAGTGCTCAGCACGGTGCCTGGCATATCGGCAATAACTCTCTCTCTCTCTCTCTCCTCTCTCTCTCTCTCTCTCTCTCTCAAACTATGGTTTTATTGATTTTTAGAGAGAGGGGAAGGGAGAGAGATAGAAAAATCAATGAGACAGAAACATCACCCATCGGCTGCCTCCTGAATGCACCCCTCCTGGGGATGGAGCCCCAAAACCAAGTATGTGCCCTGACTGGGAATTGAACCGGTGACCTTTTGGTTCCTGGGTCGACACTCAACTGCTGACACTCAACTGCTGAGCTGCACCAGCCAGGCTACTATAACTCTTTTTTTTTTTTTTTTTTTAAGGTATTTATACACGTAGTCTTTTTTTTCCTGTTCTTTTTTCCCCCCTTTATTTGATTTATTAAATTATTATCTGTGTAAATATTTTAACATTGCCCTCCCCCCATACATACCCTCCATTCCCAGAGTTTTCTGTCCATTGGTTGTACTTATATGCATGTATACAAGTCCTTCGGTTGATTTCTTATCTCCCCCAGATCTCCTTACTGTCCCCGCTGTAATTTTACAGTCTGCTTGTTGCTTTACTGTCTTTATATCTATCTTTTGGTTTGTCAGTTTATAATGTTTTTTAATAGATTTTCATTTTTGTGGCTGCTCTAGGGTTTACCGTGGACGGCTTATGTAATAATGCCTTCCTGTTCCATTCAGGCAGGCTGTCCCCAGAAAAGGGCCCCGGTGGGGAGTGTGGGCAGGAAAGCTAGCTGCCTGAGGAAGGGCGGCCTGGGGCCGGGGGGCCTGAGCTGGCCACACGGTGGCCCCAGTGAGCAGTATGGAGGCTGTGCTCCATTGGAGCCCGTGGGGCTGCACAACCCTCAGGGTCACTTCAGATCGCATGTCAGGACAGACGTCCAGGACAGATGTCCAGGTCCGCGAAAACACATGTCCTCAGGCCTGCCCACAGCTTCTAAGGAGACCCGGGGCCAGACTCCCCTGGTAACCGCCCCTGTGGCTCCATCCTGCAGTGCGGGCCCCAGTGCGGGCCCAGAGCGGCTCCTCTGCCCCCAGGGACCATCGGACTGTGGGAGCAGGGTTCACGGGACATGGTGGCTGTCACCTACCTTTCCTCCGGGCATCCTAAAACTCAAGGCCCGATGTGGGACCTGCTGGAGGGCAAAGGGATGAAGGGTGGACTGAGGGGGGATCTGGAGGTGAGAAAGCTTTGGGAGCGGAGGGACACTGCAGGCTTCTGCCTTTCTGGTTTGGTTAGGGCCCTGTGAGAAAGCAGAAGGTCCCTGTTAGAATCCTACTGGGAGTGCCTTCGGGAATTTTCAGGAATAAACCTGAGAGCCGCAAGCAGGTAGGGCATGGGACAAGGTGAAGACCCAAGGTCTCCTACACACCAGGGACCAGAAAGGGCCTCACACTACTCACTCAGACATCCACGGGCACCCAGAGTACGGCTTTTGGGGTCAGAGTTCAGCCCCTGGTTGGTGGGGCCAAAGCTGAAGCATAAAGAGGGGCACTTACCAAAACTGGCTTAGCTCAATGGATAAAGCATCTGCCTGCAGACTGAAAGGTCCTGGGTTCGATTCCGGTCAAGGGCATGTACCTTGGTTGCAGGCACATCCCCAGTAGGGGGTGTGCAAGAGGCAGCTGGTCAATGATTCTCTCTCATCGATGTTTCTTATTCTCTATCCCTCTCTCTTCCTCTCCGTAAGAAAAATCAATTAAAAAAAAAAAATATATATATATATATATATATATATATATATATATATTTTTTTTTTTTTTTTTTTTTTTTTTTAAAGGGGCACTGTGTCCTTTAACATTTACCCCAGACCCGGGCCCCCCATCGCAGCTGATGCCCAATAGCAGGAGGTGCTGCCTATCAAGCTGTGATCGAAGGAGGGGTGGCAGGATGATGTCTGAGGACCTCCTGAGAGGTCTCTCCTGTCCTAGGCCTCTGGGCCACCCACCACGGTCGTCATCCCAACCTCGGTGCTAGTTCTTGGATGCCAGAAATCCTGAGCGCCCTCCTGCCCCCAAGAGGTGTTCTCCGTGACATTTGGGCTCCCAACCTCTCTGTCTCTCACCCTTGGACCCACAACAGCTTTCACCAAACCCCAGGGGTGTTTACAGGCCCGAACCCGCGGGGTGAGGCGTGCGGGACGGAGGATGCACACTCATAGGGTGCCAGGCCCCTCCTAACCCGCCGGTGGCCGGAAGAGAGCCTCTCCCTCCCTGTGGGCTGCCATCAGCCTTACCTCCCCAGGCAGGGCACACTGACAGCGAGCGGGGTCCCCGGCCAGGCTCTGCTCCTCCAGCAGGAGGCGTGCCTGCGTGGGGAGATGGCAGCTGCTCTGCAGACGTGCGCACTACACTGATGGGGGGACAGGTCCCCTGCTCCATCCCACTGAGCCTCCCTTCCCCTGCAGCACCAACGCCCGATGGAAGCTTAAACCGGGGAGCCCAGCCCGTGCCCCTAAGTGGCCTGGATAGAGAAGGTGGGTCCTGGGGATGGACAGGCAGCCCCTGCTAACTTTCCAGGAAGAGTGGAGAGGGGGAACAAAGCCTCTAGCCGGGCAGGACCGCACAGGCTCCCCAGTGCCTGCCTCCATCCTCCCTGCCCCACAGCCTCTGCTTCTCTCTCTTTTTAAAATATATTTTATTGATTTCTTACAGAGAGGAAGGGAGAGGGATAGACAGAAACATCAATGAGAGAGAAACATCGATCAGCTGCCTCCTGCACACCCCCTCCTAGGGATGTACCTGCAACCAAGGTATGTGCCCTTGACCGGAATCGAACCTGGGACCTTTCAGTCCTCAGGCTGACGCTCTATCCACTGAGCCAAACCGGTTTTGGGCAGCCTCTGCTTCTCTTGCTCTGCTTCGCTGTGTAGGGCCCTGAAGTGTGCTCTTAGGAAGAAGTCTTGAACTGTTTAGGAAGGTGGAATCCTGGGGAAAATGATCCACTGTGTTCTTAGTGCCTTTAGGAACCAGCCCAGCCCCATTCATTCTGTCATTCATCCCTTCTCAGATCCATCGTTCATTCATTCATTCACTCAGGAACGCCCACCCAGAAGAGGAGCTGGGACACTTGGCTGTCCTTGTGGAAAAGACTGAGGTTGCCGAAACCGGTTTGGCTCAATGGATAGAGCGTCAGCTTGGGGACTGAAGGGTCCCGGGTTCGATTCCGGTCAAGGGCATGTACCTTGGTTGCGGGCATATCCCCAGTAGGGGGTGTGCAAGAGGCAGCTGATCGATGGCTCTCTCTCATCGA